CTTTAGATAATAATGAGGAATGTGCTTGATATGTGTACTCAAGACTGAAAGAAATGACAGTAGCTTGAGTTTATTTCTGAGTTGAGAATAATAATAACAAAATCAACTTCACAGTAGAGAGCTTACTGAAGCAGACACACATGCTTTTTAGTGATTTTGCATGACAGAAAAAGACTATGCAAAAGCTCAATAATCTATGACAGAGTAGAAGAGCTCTCTTTGACTTTCTGCCTGAATTTAATCAGCTACTGCTGGAAGCTGGTGATCACAGATGAAATGATTACATTAAAAAGAAGTATTTGAAATCTGCTCTAAGCATGAAGCTGAGAGAAGGCATGATGAGTGTAAGAGAACTGTCTCTCTACAAGAATTACTGCAGAGAGTTTAGATTAGTTGATCATCAACTCTCTGAGCTTAAAACTTTAAGACAGTGATCTAAACATCATGAGAGCAGATCTTCTTCAGATCATATGACATCTAATTTACACTCTCTACTTTACTATGCTGTTCTTGACTGATGAAACCAGTCTCAAGCTTTCATTGATGATCTGATGAATCTCTCTTCTGGTGCTGTGACCTCAAGTACTCACCACATCAAATTGATAAATCAGACAGAGGTTAATTGATGAAGAGAGCAAGGCCTGTGCCTGAGATGTGGAGCTGAAGGTTATATGATTAAGAGCTGCTCATTCAAATCTTTCAGACACCCTGCCACTCTCACAATAGCTAAGGTGATTCTTAAGCCAGTACTGGACAACAATGATGTAGATATGAATGAGGATTTGAAAAAAGAGTAGCTTCAACTAAAAGACACTAGAAGAAGTGAAATAAGAAGCTTATGAGAAAGCAATAGAGAAGATTTAAATCTAAAATAATATTCAAACTCTTCACTGTCAATGCTTTAGTAGATAATGCCTTTTCAACTAGAGCAATAATAGACAGTGGATGTAATGTCTATGATCTTATTTCTCAATTCTATGTTAATAAGCATAAGCTCCTATGCATTGAAATTTCCTCTGTTAAAATGACTGGCTTTGAAGACTTCATGAGACTCTTCATGAGCATAGTGACTAGTATTCAAATTGATATAGATGGTCATGTAACTGAACAGACCTTTCTCTACATGGTGAATAGATTACATGATCATGATATGTATTTAGGTGACCTCTGACTGGCCCAGCAAAAAGTGACTGTGATCTCTTATCAAAGAATTGTGAGATTTGAAGAGAGTGGCATAGAGGTAGAGCCTAGTTCAAATGCAAAAGCTGATGTGATTCCCATCTCTGCTGTAATCTTCTTTAGGCTTGTGAGCACTTGAGAGAAGCAAAACATTGAGATCTTCACTATCAGTTTAACTGACATTCAAAAGACTCTAGAAGTGAAATCAAAGATTGACTCTAGAGAAAAGCTGCCTGAACATTATCATGAGTTTTTGAATGTATTTGATAAGGAAGCTGCTGACACTCTACTCTCACTTTGTGACCCAGATAGAGATCATGAGATTGAACTGATTAAAAAAGCTGATGATAGTGCAGAACAACCCCATTGGGGCTCACTATATAATATGTCTCAAGAAGAACTACTGACTTTGTGAAAGACTCTTATAGATTATCTGAATAAGAGTTTTATTAAAGTGAGCAACTCCCCTGCAGCTGCCTCTGTACTATTCACAAAGAAGTCTGAGAGTGAGCTAAGATTCTGTGTAGACTATCAAGCTCTTAACAAAATCATCTGAAAGAATTGATATCCTCTATCATTAATCAGTGAGACTCTACAGTGAATTAGACAGGCTAAATGATTCACTAAGCTGGACATTATTGCAGCTTTTCACAAGATTCAAATCACAGAAGGTGATGAGTGGATGACAGTCTTTAGAACTAGATACAGACTATTTGAGTGACTGATTACACTTTTTGATTTGGCCAATGCTCTGAGCACATTTCAAAAATATATCAACTGAGCATTACATGAATACCTGGATGACTTCTGCTCAGTCTATTTAGATGACATCTTGATATTTTCTTCAAGAAGATTACAGGAGCATCATGAGCATGTACAAAAGATGCTTATATGTCTATGAGAAGCAGGCCTGCAGGCAGACATCAGAAAGAGTGAGTTCAAGATGAACAACACAAAATATCTTGAATTCATCATTAAAGTGAACAAGAGTATATGAATGAATTCAGAGAAGATTAAAGCTATTTTGAAATGAGCAATATCTACTACTCTTAAAGATGTATGAGAATTTTTAGACTTTGCCAATTTCTATAGACAATTTATCAGGAATTTCTCAAAGATTGCAATCTCACTAATGATTCTTACATACAAGAATGTTTTTTTTTTGTGAATGAGCAAGGCTGAAGAAGTTTTTAAGTATCTAAAATCAATGTTTATCTCTGCTCCAATTCTGCTTCAATTTGACTCTGATCATAAGACTATATTGAAAACAAACTTCTCAGATTATATCTCAGGAGAAGTGCTGCTACAATATGATGAGCAAAGCATTCTACACTTATGTACCTTCTTCTCTCACAAGTATTCACCTGCGGAATGCAACTATGAGATTCATGATAAGAAGTTATTAGTAATAATTGAGTGTTTAAAGAAATGAGATGCTGAGCTATAAAGTGAAAAGAAATTCAAAATTCTCACAGATCATAAGAATCTAGAATACTTTATGACTATACACAGACTAAATGAAAGACAGCTACATTGAATGGATATTCTCTATCAATTCAACTTCAGAATTGATTACTGACCAGGGAAGTTGAACACTGAATCAGACACTCTATTGTGAAGAGAGCAGAACATGTTACAGAGTACTGATGATGAGAGAATCAAGCAGAGACAAGCTCAACTACTTAAGTTTAATGTACTGGTATCTGAAATGAAATCAATAGTGACTACTGCTAGTGTGAAATCTGAGATGTCTCTTCAAGCTCAGTGAAATAAGACTCACAAAAATGACAAGATTCTACAGCATCTGAAGTAATTTCTTCATGAGAAAAGATTCAGATTTTCTTCTGAACTCAGCATTAAGATCTTCATCTCTGAGTGCTCTTTAAATGAGAATGAGAAGCTTCTCTTTCAAGATTGTAAGTAAGTGTCAGACTTCAAACCTCTTCAAATCAGATTGGTGCATGAGACTTATGACTCATCTCTTATCAGTCATTCTGGGTGAGAGCAAATGGCAGAAGTTCTAATACATGAGTTCTACTGATCAGACTATATCACTGATGTGAAAAGAATGATCAGGAACTGTCATCTTTGCAGATTAAACACTGCATGAAGAGATCAATGTCAGAGACTGCTTAAGCCTCTTCTCATTTCTGAATGCATGTGACAGAAGCTTTTCATAAACTTTATTGTGAACTTATCAAGCTCTAAAGAATACATGAACATCATGATTATAATGAACAGACTGATCAAAGAAATTATATTAAAAGCAGTTAAGAAAACTGATGTGAAGACAGTGACTAGAGTGTTTCTTCACAACATTATCTCTCAACATGACATCTCTAAGACAGTAGTGTCAGATTGAGGATCAGCTTTCACAAGCATGTTTTGAACTTGAGTGTGTGAGAAATTAAATATTAAGAGATAACTCTTCACAGTCTATCACTCAGAGACTGATGAAGCTACAGAGTGAATGAATCAGACTCTGAAAATCTATCTACACAAGTACATTAGCTTTCAACAGAATGACTGATGTGAATGACTTTCTCTAGCAGAGCTGACTATTAATAATAGAGATGCTGTCTCAATGAGTGTAAGCTCATTCTTTTTAACACATCTTTTTCACATCTCCTTCATTGATATAGCTGATGCATCTTTCATTGAAACATCACATAATTTCATTGAGTTTGCAGATGATTATATGAGAAAGACTCATGAAGTATTGAAGTGAGCTCAAGTAAAAATGACAGATGCTCAGCAATTTCAAGAGAAATACATGAATAGATGAAGAGACTCAGCTTCAAGCTTTCAATCTGAAGATAAGATCTGATTGAGTCTAGAGAACATGTGAACTAATCACCTGTGCAAGAAACTGAATGCAAAATACAATCAATATACTGTGCTAGAAAAGATAGAATTTCATGCTTACTGACTGAACATCTCATCTGACATTCACAATGTCTTTAATGTAAAGCTTCTACATGCTGTGATGACAGATCCCCTGCCTAGTCAAAGGCAAACTGACTGACAGTCACTCACTATAGAGACTTCAGAAGGACCTGAGTTTGAGATTGAGAAAATTTGAGGTGAATGAACCTATCAGAGGAAAAAGCAATACCTTGTTAAATGAATAGATTGAGCTGAGTCTACATGAAATGACATGAGTCTTCTACAAGAAGTGAAGGCCTTGAATGCTTGGGAGGCCTCTCAGCAGGCAAAATTAGATGTAAAGAGGGCTTTAAATAGTCATAAAGGCCTGCAACAAAGAGGGAGAAGGGGGGTATTATAAGAGGTTGAACCTCTAGATTTGCTCTGGCTGGCTGACTCAGCCTAGTCATCATTCACATGTGCACACATGATCATGCTACGCGAGCTTGCTTAAGCTTGAGTTCTCATCTCATTCTTTTCTTCCCTTTCTCAAGCAATTCGTCCTTGTTATATAGGAGGACTAGCCTCTAGTTCTTAGAGCTTAACCCTTTACATCTTGCCTATAAGCTTGATTGAGCAGATTGACATGTTCTTGTGTGATCAGTCACTGAAAAATTAGTGAGTTGCAGATTTTTCTTTCACTCACTAAGTGAATGAATTGAACACAGAAAAAAAAAAATAATAATATAAGAGTGCATCAAATTGATCAATTGACATAAAATAAGACAATATTATATTGAATGAAGTGAGCAGTGATTAATATACACTATATTTGGCAAGAATTCCCTGAATTGGCAGTTATTTGCGCAAAATGGGTCTCATAACCTGTCAAGAATAGATTGCTTGATTGATTATGAGGCGATCACTAGCTACGCGGAAGTTATATACAGTGTGGATTACATAAGAAGGTGGATAGGCCTGACATCAACACCAACCCGCCAGCTTCCCTCGAGGAAGTCCTCCAAATATATCTACCAATAGCAAGGCGTATATGCGTGGTATGTATGGCAAGCCAGACTAGGAACATGGTATATTAGTTAAGGGGATGTTGTGGTCCCTTCTGCACTTGATCTATATTCCCCCGTATATAGTCGTTCTCGTACTTAGCAACCTTTAACATCGATCAAGCTTGTCATTCTGTCAGAAAGATATATAAAAGGTATATGTATAAAAAGAGTGTAGTTAACGCTCGTTTATACCTCTTCTCTGATCATTTTTCTTACTTCCTCTTCTTCATCGCAAATCACAATCTCCCTCTGCATGTTATCTTTCAATGCCATCATTCCAAGAAATAATAGGTCGTACTGCCTCCTATTGTTGTACCTGAATTTTCCCTATAAAAGAAGCCCAACTCTATTCTCTCTTCTGCCTAAAATGGCCACTCTCCCTCCTCACCCGGCCAAGTATTGAACGTAAGCTACTCCGAGACTTTTGCGTAGCAGGCGGCTTCGCCGTGGCTGCGGCCGCGTTGGTTGAACCCGTCATGTCAACGGTAGCACTTGTCGATTTCGCGAAGAGAGACCGGGTGGCGGATGGGGATACTTGCGTTTGTTGTTCTGCTTCTACTTGTCGTTCCGAAGAGGCGGCAGGCTCTGCCTCGCCGCCTGCTTTCACACTCATACCCTTTCCTTCCAGAGTTTGTTCTTGGGACGATATATCCACGGAACCAACAGCTGCAACTTCTGCCGCAATTTCACGAGTGTTTTCATCTGCGGGAGTCAAAACAGGCAGGGTAGTTGATACTCCCGCAACAGGTGGGTCGCCTTTCTGTTCAGATCCCGCATCTGCTGCCTGCCTCAGCAACTTACCCAGAGTTGATTCCTTCCCCTCAACGCGGCGGGTAAGGTACACTTTTGGCGTCGGGGCATGTCGTGCCAGACTGTGTTTCCGGATCCGCTCGACCTCCTCCGTATACGCCGTTTCATAGATGTCGATATCCGCTGCACCAGGCGATTCACTCACGATGGGTACTAGACCAATTCCAGAGGTCGTCGGGAAGCCATAGGCGCCGCTGACATCGTTGCTGTTATTGGAAATATCCCGTGGTTCTGTAGCAGAGGAACGGAGGGTAGTGGCAGTGGTAAAGTAGCCCAATGATATTCTCTCTTCCTCTGCTGTAAGGACGCCGGTGAATGTTGATGGACCAATGAAAAGAAACGGGTGTTCTTCCTCCAGTGGATCTCGCGCGTGGCCACGAGTTCCTTCTGAAAAGCTCAGTTTGCTCGGGGTGTTGGTACGAGAGATCTGCGGGGGTGGAGAGGCAGAATTGGTGGTTGACACCAGGCTATGCTGGCAGGCCCCCTGCAGCGATTCTTCTGGGTTATTATTTGTGAGACTGGAAACATTGTCGCTTTTCCGCATGGAGGTATTTATGTTAAGACTCCTTTCGGCAATTTGGCGCCTGGAGTCTGTTAAACCGGTTTTTGAATGGATACTCCTAGCACCTAAGGGAGTATTTTGGGTTGTTGTATGCGCAGAAGAGAATTCCACGCCAGGAGCCTCCATGGATAGTGGCGGTTGGACGAAATGTGGCTCCACATCTTGGCCCAAGATGCTTTGCATTGGCGGGGCATTTTCTGGTTCGATGAGCCTCTTGAATTTTTGTACTGCCCTTACCTGGAAGCTTATCAGAACAGTTTAGGCATGGAGAGTCGACTATCTTATAAAAATAACATACCACTGTAAGCACATTACCGATCTTCTTGGTAATGGCAGTGTTCACTTCTTCTTCGGTCAGATCCCCAATGAAATTGCCAGTGTTTTCCTCCGCTGATAGTAAGGGATCACTACCCCTTTTTGTGACCCACGGATGATCCTACCTTTGGTTAGCTCGGGGGATTCTCAAAATGAACAAACAGGAAAAGCTCTTTGAGCAACTTACCCTTAACCCTGGCATCTTGATCCTTTTCGCTGGATCCTTTTCTAAGATTTTTGACATCAGGTCCATAAAATCCTCGTCTGTTTCATTCTCATATTGGGCTTCATCATTCCGAATAGACTCGTACAACTCAAAGATGCTCTCTTTTTCGAATGGTATTCGCCCATAACGAAGACAGTAAAGCGTCACTCCCATAGACCAAATATCCGCTGCAGTACCTGATATATCCCCGTGCTTAGCTACACAGAGTTCCGGGGGTAGAAAAGCAGGCGACCCTGCCGATTTCGCAGTATACATATCAGAATCCTTCTGAAACATTTCCGACACGCCAAAGTCGACGATTTTTAGCACATCATCGTTAGTCAGTAGGCAATTGTCCGGCTTGATATCCCGGTGAACGATATTCTGCGCATGGAGGTACTCCACACCCAGGATCAAATCACGAAACCAGCAACGGCAGTGTTCATTGTCATACGGGTCGGATTCTTCCCCCAAGCCCACTTTCATGATTACCCCTTTTTTGCACATCTCCATGACCATATACAACGAGTCTTCCGTGGGATCGTCGAGCACTTCGATTAGAGCCACCAGGTTATTATGATGTAGTTTTTTCATAATGGCGATTTCCTCTTTGATCAAATATAGGGGATTGCCACCGTCTTCATCTTCATGACTGGATGGATGGCGGTGGAGCGGAGAGTTGAGACCCAGGCCGGCGGCGATGACTCCAGGACGCCTGGTTCCCCGGGGATTGCGCAAGACATGGGATTGGGCTCGCTTTCGCAATCGAGACTTGGAGAATTCTTTCACAGCCTTGAAAGTCCTCAGCTTTTCTTTATTTCTTTCCCGCCCCTTGAATGCTACATCGGATGTAAAAGCCACTCACGTATTCCTGGCCGTATTGATCGACAGCAAGATGGACAGCGCCAAAAGAGCCCCTTCCAATCTCCTGTTTTATGAGATATTGGTTTATACGGTGTTCAGCGGTACCGTCATCTTCACTATTTGTGTACTCAGAACGAGCGTTGAGGGTTTCCTTGGTTCAGTTGGGGTTGATGTCAGTACACAAACGGCAACACTGTTTTGATAACAGCAGAATAGGAATGGCGCACTTTTACTCGTCGAGGAGCAGTATGGCTTCTTGTATAATGTCTCAGGGGACTGCTATAAGAGGGAGTGGCCGATCTGGGGTTTCAAGCATTAGGTCAGCCCAAGCTGAGCAGAGGTATTGAGCTGTGCTGGCGCTAAACCACGCACCCATCCAGAACGATTTTTTCTTTCTTTCTTTCTTTCTTTTCCCTTTCTTTTTGGAAGATAATGGGGGGGATATAGGATAGAAAATAGCAGAGAACATACCTGAAAATACATGGTTCAACGGTAGTCTCAGAGCAGTCGGTTGTGATCTTTCGGAGCACCGATTTTTGGTGCTCATAGAGGGCTTGATCTTGGGCCATTTAATGGAGGTTCTGGCGGTGGGGAGAGTGGGAATGGAAAGTAATATAGCTGATATAGATACGTAGGATCTGTCCCTGAATGTTTGCCAGTATTTCTCTCTGTCTATTGAATTATCCGTTTCTGCAAAACCAAGCCAAGCGATGCTCGACACGGCTGAATGTGGGGTGGAAGAGTAGCGTTGAGTGTTGAAGTTGTCGGGGGCTGTGAATGGTTACCCTTAATGGGACTCGAGCAGGATGAATACACCAATCCCACGATCTGGAGGGGTTGATGCATTCAATCCATGGGGATAAGGTGCGCAGTAAGTAAAAAGTTATTGGGCTCTGAGGTCACGATCGTCGAGATCTAAACATGAGCAGAGGTACGGAGTAGTAAAAAGCAATTCAATCCGCAACTGTCATTGCTATTATCCCTGGCCAAATGATAGCATCAAAACAGGAAGGATGATTGAGTAAAATAAGTAATCGATATTTAAAATATCTTTAAAGACGAGGGGATTTGTTTTAACTTAATATACGGAGAACAACAAAACATTAAGGCAACCGTGGCTCGGAGTGGATGGTGCGTGGTGATAATATCCGATCATCCTTCCAGTCGAGTCGACCAATGATTATGGCGGGGTTTTCCTATTACCACGCCCCTTGGAACTGAATGCGCACCTCCGCCAAGTCATGCTGAATTTATATACCCGCAGATAAGATAGATATACAAACATTACATACATCCGCCGCCACGAGATATACCCGACAAGTAAACGCATAAAAACGCCTTTGATTCCTAGCTATTCACCCCTCTGCAGCCTATATTCTCCTCCCGTCTCTGTAATTCGACAGTTGACCCCTTAACCGCTCTTGCCATGGTCGTCTACTCATTTTACATTTTCGACCGCCATGGTATGGCTATATCCCACTCTCTTGCTCCGTTTTCCCCTATTTATACGTCGAATACGACACCAGTCTAACCTCCACCTCTAGCGGAATGCATCTACAAACGCCGCTGGCTCCCGCGTCCAACCTCTACGGGTTCTAAACCTCCCAGGCCAACATCAGACTCTGCTGCCCTCAGCAACGGCCTCCCAAAATCCAATCCAGCCTCAAACCAAAGCCTGACAGCCGAAGATGACGCAAAGCTGATATTCGGCACGGTATTCTCGCTCCGGAATATGGTGCGCAAACTCGGTGGAGACGATGATAAGTACGAATATATCATATTTCTATGCAGTTATATGCGAGCACACACACACACACACACACACAGAGAGAGAGAGAGAGAGAGAGATTGTTATTATCTACTGGCTAATGCCATATCTTATAGCTTCGTCTGCTACCGAACAAGCCAGTACAAGCTGCATTACTACGAAACCCCCACCAATATCAAGTTTGTCATGCTCACGGATACAAAGTCGGGCAGCATGCAGCTGGCCCTGCAGCAGATATATGTCAATCTTTATGTGGAATATGGTCCGTATGATGTCCGCTAGTATATCTAATTTTTGTTCTATTATCTATTACATATATATGCGCGTGTGCGCTCTGGCAACAATGTTTTCTAACTAAGCCTGTTGTATTTTTCTTGCAGTGGTCAAGAACCCCTTGGCTCCAGTCGAGCACCCTGGCGGTCTAGGTGTAAACAACGAGCTTTTCGAGGAGTCCCTGGAACAGTTTGTGGTACGTCATTCGTCCATTTAAACCGCCAATCTTGCTATTAATTTATTTGTTTCGCATATTTTTATATCTGCCATAATTCGACTGACCCCGTTGTACTACTCCAGACGAGGGTTCTAGCTTAAAAATATCTTCCTCAAGCTAGGATTAGGTATACCCTTCAACTTTTCAATGGGTTATGCACCTTTCCAAGATACTGGACAATTTATTCGTCTTTTGTCGGGAAACATCAAAGCAGGATTTTCTCACGTCTGTGGAGAGTCGACCAATCTACGCCCAGCCAGCCAAACAAAGCTACCATCCTGGAGACTATGGAGTTTAACACCTTGGCATAGACCACTCCAAGACGACCATTTTTTTTAGCCCGTTGTGTGGTTGACTTGAAGGGTGTGTGGACGTGACTGGAGGGGAGATTTCTCAGGCCCTCTGAAGCAATACAATGTATTCAGTCGATCAGTAGATTTCCTCGCTCATCGAAGGCTTGGTCAGATCTTACGCAGACCACGTGATTATCTCTTATCATCTCCGCAGCATTCGAGTCCGCGGGCATTCAGCCTCTGCTTAACTCCTGGTGACGCGAGAAATCTTTCGACATCTTGCAAATGGAGAACGTTACGTCAGCGTGTAATACAGACGATAGACATCATCCTGCAGGTAATCTGGAGAGCGTCATGTTTCGAATGACAAGCGAACCTCCGGGGGCATTTCTATACGCACATGTCATTTCTTCTTGTCGATCCATATTCATTCTCAGGGAATGATTATTCTTCAAAACTACCGTGTGTGCCACGGTGATTTTCTTCACGTTTCTTTTCGTGTTTCAAAATCGACATTTATGAGCATACATAATAGAGCTGCATTGCTATTCACCTCAACATCTATTCTTTTCCTTATTAACTATAGGGAGAACATGTTAGCTGGCTTTCGCTATCATTAATGCAATTGTGCTATGCCTGCTTCCCCCCCCCCCCCCCCCCTGAAATCGGAACCGCTTGTCGTTAATCGTTTATGAAAGGAGTTGCATTTAGGTCAACACCGAAATCTGCTTAGACGGAATGGATATGGTGAGAGTTTCTGAAATTGAAATGAAATAACGGATACAAGCAATAAATAATTGAAAAGCAAAATAGACCAAAGGGGAGAGAATAGTTCGTTTGGGTCTGGATCTGAGTCTGATGGAGGTAGCCTTTGCATTTTCGTCTTTTCCAGGAGCCTGCTGATCGGGAGTAGAAGAGTTGAACTGGGATCAACGATCAAAAGATACTTCCATCCCCGACTAAAAATTGTGAGGAGAGTTGCTTGTTTCCGACCTGCCTCTGACGCATACGAGGGGGATTTTGTATCGACCTGTTGTCTGTGCTTTGCTGTATACGGGGATAGATCGCTTCAACCGAGGAAAACAGCCACATGAGGATATAATCTCTCTTCTGATGGCCTCCTGGAAAGTTGGCTGGCATTCGTTGGAACACTCTTTGGCATTTTTGGTAGTTTTCTATTCATGTGCTACAGACGATTATGGGAATATTTCTCCAGCACAATAGAACACACATAGGGAAGATGTTAAGGCGAAATTCTTCCGGCTTTCTCCCCATAAATATATATTAACTAAGGATTGATGCTTCCGGTCAAGTGGTCAGACTCTCCAAGATATGCATCCGTTACGACTGCATCTTCAGCAACGGACAGGAAAGAATTAGGAGACCTCAACCCGCTGGGCTCCATACGTTCATTCGTCTTTGGGGGGAAGCTTTAATCCAAGGACTGGTTCCCTTCCTCCCCACTGATATTAGATGGTTGTGCAAGCGACAATCATGGGTCCTGATGTGAAAATGTCAGAATTAATAAGCTCGTGAACAAGTCCTTTATGTTAGAATTTAATAAATTATTTAATTTAAATACGAGGGAGACTTTATCTACAATGCCTATTACAATTCTCTTAATGTAGGCTAGAAAGTAATTTGGCAACCAGTAAAATTGAAAAAGAGTGCATAGAAAATGACAAAATTTGTCATACATTCGAAATTCTTTCCCTTTCTTTTATATTCTTGCTAAAGAAAAGTTATATGTAGTTTCTGCACTGTAATTAATCGCACTTCATATCATCTGTTCTCTCAGATGCAAAGCATTACATAACAAATCACAAAATCAAACTATCAAACTGTCAAACCCTCAATTCCCCTCATCCCCAAGACGTTAATCAATTCCACCCTAAACAACTCCCTCTCCCCACAAGCCAAACATTCAACCCCCTTCTACCCATCACCCGCTTCAGCGTCGCAATTACACCATCCTCGCCAAAGTCCATATCATCCAAACTCACATGACGCGCGTGGGACCAGAGGAGAAGCAATTGCAGAGATTGCGGGTCCGCAATTCTATCTGTAACTGTATCGGTAGTCGTATCTGCATGTCCAGAGCCGTAATTATTGACATATTTGTCCAGAAACGTATTAGAATTTGGCGCAACGAGGAGGACCGGATTATCGTAGTTGATGGTGACTTTGTGAGGACCAATACTGCTCTGAGCATGTTCTTGTTCTCGTTTCTGCGTAGGAGAAGAATGCCACTGCTTGCATTTGGGAACTGCCTGATCGAGTCTCTGCATCATATCAAATCCCGGGATGCCCATCAGGTCCACGGTAGAAATGTTGGAGAAGGAGAGGGGAGGTACGCCTGTGGCGTTGCTATCGCTCAGATCACCTAGTAACCACGTGGGTGGGGAGTAAGTCTTCCACCAGAAGACCGTTGCGGTGCCGTTGGGCATTGGCGGGCTACCTGTATTCCTCGCGAGGGAATGGGAAGGTGGTGCTGTGGAGTTGGCGAGAATGGTGGGGAGATGAAGCTGCGCTGGTATCACGCCTCCCTGGTGATAGATGCCCATGAGCGTGCCTAGGGTGGCGTTGAAGAGGACCCATGATATAAGGAAGAGGCGGGAACGGGGAGGGTGGAAGCAGGTTAGTAGGAGGGGAATACAGGGGATGAGGAAGCGGGATTCTTGGTGGGGGAAGATGGAGAGGATGGCAGTGGCGGACAGGGCGGAGATGGCACGTAGGTTGCGGAGGGAGAAGTAGGAGGTGCTTGGGGATTTGAAGGAGTAGAAGAGGAGTAGGTAGATGGGGCCGAGGAGCTGGGGGAGGTTAATGAGGACGTGGGTGTAGCGTGGGTGCAGGCCGTGATTGGCGAGATTCGACGTGGTAGAATTGTACAGGAGGTTGTTTAGTGGGGTTATGATGGGTTTGCGCAAGATGGAGGAGAGGGATGTTGGGGATGCCCTGTAGAAGGTGGTGTCGGTGGATATGGCAATGAGACAGGATATGAAACCGAATATTATTACTGTCAGGAGGGAAAGGGGTCTGCAGCAGAATGTTAGCGATTTTTAGACGGGGTTGATGTGAAGGGAGAGGGCATACTTTTTAAAGAAATGGGGGACCAATTTAAGTCCGGGTATCAAAACAAAGGCTGGAAAAGTGATTCTATTAAAAACCCCCGTAACAAGCACGAAGGATAAGATAGCGCATGAGAAGATAGAAGAGTGTTGCTGAAGAAGTTGGGAGCAAAATATAAGCTACACGGTCAATTTATTCAAGATCGCCTTCCCGGGGTAATGGAATATTCTAGGGCATCCTGCGCACCTTATTCTCAAGAATGCGCTGTATCAAAACCAAGCCCCAGGCCACGAGCAAAGTCTCCAACGAGTTCGAAAACGTATGCGATTGATATGTCCAGGTAACATAGGAGGATGCGACCAGTACCACGGCCTGGCGACGACGGCGCGGGGACGACACGAGCTCATGCATAGCCCAGTCCTCAAGCACGAAGCTCAGGAGGAACATCCCGCCCCGAAGCACGTAGTATATCAGGTCCGTAGGGGTACTCCCAGTGCCGGCCTCAGCCCACAACCACTTCAGGAGGGTCATGGGCAGGCCGTAGACTATCCATAGTGGGAAGACGCTGCGGATGGGATTGTCCGAGGTGAACTCCCAAGTTCGGTGGGATGGGTAGGAGTACACTTGGCCTGGAACAATACAGTGTTAGCGGACATTAACGAACAAGCTGAAACATATCAATGCGATGCAATAGAGGAGAAAAGAATCTCTACGGCAATAATGAAGCCAACCCCCCAATATGTTAACAGGGGGTGTTTAACTACGAGTAAGCAGGAATCACGATCGGGTCAAGCTGATGAACGGGAGGAGAACATCCAACACTGACATTGAGTTAAAGAAATCAAAATGAACTAGAAAAGAAAAATATGCTGTCCCATACCAGCGAAAACCTCGGGCCCCTGGAAATTCTCATCAGGATGGATATAGCTGGGGGAGAAGGCGAAGTAGACTCGGACAAGGAGAAGCAGCAGGTAAGTTCGTCTCCACATTGCGCAGGATGGTTTAGGGCATGAAGCTGCGCAACCATGGATGAAGGCATGGGAGCATTGTATGCACAAACCTTGTTGACAACGAATGAATGCACTGTGATGTAAAGAGTTGGAGATGAGATGAGAAAGAAAAGTTACCGTTGAAGAGAGAGCATTTATGAAGGATTTGAAAAGAACCAAACAGTATGAAACTATACAGGAGCCAAATGTAACTAAATCACCCTGCTAACTATCTTCAAGGCAGCAACCCAGCTAGCTAGCACTTGGAGCAAGCAGCCTTCAAAAGTACCCTGCCATAGTAATTTACCCTAGCAGTGACATCCTGCACACGTGACCCGCTTTGTCATCCGTCCTCGCTGCCCCGTCCCCGCCTTGACGTCTGGCTGGCTGCAACCTCCTCAACAATTACAACATCAACAACATCTACGATCTCACCTTTACGTTCATCTCTTTTCATATTCACTCTTCACACTGCCAGATACCAAAAAAACACCACACTGAAAACTTACGATTCTAGCCGCCTTCTTCCTCTTCTCTCGCCGCCCCCGACGGTCTCGCTGCGGCTTCCGCAACCTCCCTCGTCTTGGCCAACCCTTCGTGCCACGGTATTTACCTCCCCTTAGCCTCTTTCTGTGCTCTCAGGCCATCCCCGCCATTTCTTCGGATCCTCTCACAGGAGAGCATGCTCTAACTCTGCGCATATATAGAGCTTCTGCATCTCTCTACAGGATCTCGCGTTGACATTTTCTACCCAAAACAGGCCTCCAAATATATATCTCGCTCGAAGCATGTCGGCCCCAGAGAATTCTAAAATCACCCTGATCCCATCCGATGAGCCCGAAGATGGCCGTGGAATCGAAGTTGGTATGCTAGTCCTTCTCTCCTCCTAGAATCTGATCGAGGTGCAAAAGAGAGATGTCGTTGCTATACCCGGGTGTTGATGTATTATTGATTCCCTTTATTGACCTATGTGCTCTTCGGCAATTTAGAACGTGTGATCATCGAGCGATCTATCTTGATCAAGAACATGCTCGAGGATCTAGGTGATTCTGGGGAACCTATTCCAATTCCAAATGTATTGTTCTTCCTTTCCTGCACCTCCCTTGCATACCTTCTCTATTCTTGATGAGGGATTACCTAACACGCCTTTGTAAAACAACAGGTTAATAAAGCCGTCCTCGAAAAGGTCATCGAATGGTGCGAACATCACAGGAACGACCCACCAACCACCAACGATGAGGACTACGACTCGCGCAGAAAGACCACTGACATCGACGAGTGGGACCAAAAATTCATGCTGGTTGACCAAGAGATGCTTTTTGAGATAATCCTGGTATTTATTTCCCCACATACCCTACATATCCACTTATCTGCCGCGCCAGCACACATTCTATGGGGGGCATGTACGCTAACAGCTTTGACACCACCATCAGGCCGCCAACTATCTTGATATCAAAGCCCTGCTAGACGTAGGCTGCAAGACCGTTGCCAATTTGATCAAAGGCAAGTCGCCAGATGATATCCGGAAAACCTTCAACATCCAAAACGACTTCAGTGAGCAGGAGGAGGCTCAAATCCGTGCTGAGAATGAATGGGCAGAGGAGTAGGTTTCACCCTCTCTATTCCATATCTTTTTGTCTATTCATTTATCTTGGTATGGTATCATATACTAACTCCAATCTACAGTCGTTAATTTCACCTGCATAATCGGCATTTGAATACGTATGAAAACCAACCCAACGACCGAGCACACATCTCCCTCTAGTCCCTCCTCTCCACCATTATCTGGATGTATAATGCAATGTATGCACACCTACCTCGTAACTCCCTGAGGTCATGAATCACCTTCCCCTTTCCATGCCCACAAAACAAAATAGGCAAATCGGGCTTAGTCGGAGTTGGATTCCGGAACCCGGTGGAGGGCGGGGAGCCAGCTGGGAGAATATTAAATTAGGGGGGTTGAATGGGAATAATGGAAAGAGAAGAGAAATTCATGTCCAATTTATTCTATTCTGCCCATTTTTTGTTTTGTTTTGCTCAGCCATACATTTCAGTGTTGCCTATTATGTCCATTTCTTGTTTTTTGAACTCCTTTATTCCCCTTCTCTTTTATTACTCCTTGTCCCCAATTGCTCCTCACCATTTAGTTTCTTTTTGTGTCTTGTTCCTTTGCGTATGTCACGTCTTAACCCACTTCGGCATACAGGGCCTCCTGGGTTGTATCAACATACCGTAACACACATGACATTAAAAAATGCGCGTCAGGCCTTTCTTGACAATTCCATCAATTTGCCAATAAATTGTTTGCTTCCTTTACTTCCTGATTACTTCCTGATGCATTTAACATTGTGGCTCTTCCAGTCCTCTTGCCTCTGGGACCCTCATCAGCGTTCATATGTACATGCTTATCAATAGTAGTCAGTTAACCACTCCCGAGGTATCCACGCCTCCCGGCTACATTTGGCGTCTTTGCGTCTTTGCTTGAAGAAAAAGTTAACAGGTCCGGTCATCAAATTCTAGTTCTAACTCTATATCTGATCTTTCTTGTTTTCTTCTTTCATTACATATTATGCTATGACTGTGGATATGGCTCTGTTGCGAAATTTACTGATTGAAAGGAATACTTGATGGCTAACCGGGCTCTCTCTTCTCTTCTCTTCTCTTCTCATTCAGGGGCTATTCCTATTATTCTAACTAAAAGAGAGCAAACATCCGGCAAAGGATCAAGAACAAATCGAATCTGAGAATCCGGTTATATTCCCCTTTCTTTCTTTTTCCTCTTAACACTTTTTGTTTTCCTTTTCCATCGTTACAATGGTTAATTAACTCCATCAGCTCCTCTCCGTCAGAACCCACTGCCCCAGCCTCACTATATCCAATCAAAATTTAACTAAAGAAGGACCATAATTGCGTAGCCAATTTTTTAAAAGGGAGATAAATGAGTACAGAAGAAAAGAGGCGTATATAAGGCGACATTTTTGCGGCTCAATTGAACCGATACAGGGATCCTCAGATGCCAAAGAGGACACATGTAACCCTCTATTTTCTTCCTCTGGCTAGGAAACTGCCCTGAAGGGGGGCCTCGATACCTCATATGGATTACTACTTATGGATTGAGCGTTGGGGAGTCATTTATGCCTCCGCTGTTGTTCTAAGCACATACCCCTGCGCTTGGGCGGGGCAAGGTAACATTTGCCCGTCGTGTGGTTTTCATTTCCCTTCTTCAGTAATACCTTGTTCATATCATGTTATATTAATAGGTGGAATTAGCGGGCCGGTGATGGGTACCTACGAACGTAGGAAACTGAGTAGATGGTGTCTCGTATACCGTGGCATTGGTCGACTAGATGTCCATCGTGCATCAGGCACGGATTCCAAAAACCTTCCTGGTAGCAATGGACATGGGGTATAAAGGCGATTGTGATGTCATTAGGTCTTCTTTTGATTGATTTCGTATCGTGAGAAAAAAAAAAAAAAAAAAAAAAGAAAGAGCTTGTATTTGATAGCTTGTCGTGTACATAAGAGAGAACAGAACCAGAAGAAAGCACACCGCCTCCATCCACCCCCTTGACCATCCCCGAAACCCCCAAAAGCCAAATCGCAATAACTCTTGATTGACACATATTCTATTGAGCTCCCGTGTACTTGACGGTATAATTCTCCTATCAAATAGAAGCAGATTATCATATCGCTCGCCTCATATCCATTTTCGGCTCTGAGACAACGGGATTCAACTCAAAAAGAGATTTCATGGTTCCTGCGCGGGAGAATACACTCAGATCGGGAAAACGAAAATGCTGGAAACTCGATTGTCGTAATGCCGGGTAGATTTTGCGGTTTTGAAAGGTGGGGAGGTGGTCATTCGCTGCGACATTCATCTAAATGCCGAGACGAGCCTTGCGCCAATGTCTCCGCTTGGCGTTATATCTGTGTTGGGGAACAAAAGGTTTCTGTTAGCCAGTATATTCCTCTTTGCGTTTTCTATGCAACCGGTGTCCCATTTCCATCTTGCAATGGAGCTCTTCTGCGACATTTTCTGAAGAACATGGTGTTTGCAATGCACCGGGCGGTGTCGTTGGAACGGAGGTGAAACATCGATTTTCGGGCACTGAATCTCCCCATCCATTTCTACACCTCGTTCTTTCATATATCTATCCCGCCATTCCATCTTTTCTCCAATATTTCTCTTCCTTTCCGTCCATTCCTTTCCGCCCCCCAATCCAGCCTTTCCACATCTCAGAAAACGAAAGCGAAATTTTAAATTTACCTGATAGTGTTTCCGGTCCGCAGACGAATCCATTGGGGAATGGGACGGTTCCGCTTCTGGGCTTTAGCAAGCTTCTGCTTGGTGCGGAACGTTTTGTGGCTCTATATTCGGGCATTACGGGTCGTTATTAGTTATGATTTTCAGTTTCTTTTTGACTCCCTCATGCTCACGCGCTGGCCGGGATATCTCCAAGGCATGTTCATCAACGGCATGGAAATTTTTCACTTACCGGCATCGTGACGATCAAGGGCACTGCAAACGCTCAAGATGTGATGGGCTGATGGTGTTGATGTCGGAGGGGGATTGCCGACCGGTTCGCTGGGAGGTTTTGTGTGGGTTTTTCCTGGCTGGATTCGCTTACCTATTTGGGCTTCAGTTCATTCATAGTATTATCATGTGACTTGGCGGGAGGGTGGGGTAGGCGGTATAGGGAGGCATTACTTCTGTTGGCTGATCAGTGATCAAGTTCACATCAGAGCTGGCGAAAGGTCCTAGGTGATCCCATACGGCTGGGAGGCGTTCTGTCGCGTTGGGAAGATGCGGCAGGAATCTTCATAGCGGCGGATCTAAATCGCCTAGCTTTGCCGCCTTGACCGTTAGAAGGTTGGCATCCTACTGGATGAAGCGTCATACGATTTCAAGCCTCAGAAGGGTGTTTGGGAAGAATCCAAAGGACAAAGTCGATTTCAATTTTATGAATACACAATCAACCCAAGAAAGGATACCCGGCCACTTTGAGTCCTCATCTGTATTATGCTGTCCTGTACGTATGCGTTCATATACATAAGAGACCCTATGCATCGATGCAGAGCAGAATATATATAGAAAACAGTACAAAGAAAATGGCTTTATCCAATGATACAGAGAGCAAATGACAATTACATAAATACCAATGTCAGGACTCACGGCTCAGCATTAAGGTGCAAACAATATATGGTGCACGTTCACAACGATATGATTCACTGGACAGGAGGTTTCAAGGAGCAAAAGACAAGACAAGAGTTGTTACCACGATATGGCATTATTCAGCCGCCGATGCGATGAACTGCAGATCCAATTGCGCTCCAGGTTTTTATTTCACCCACCCTGCACGTGCCCGCGTCTGTGATCTTGAAAGCTGAGACCTCGATTCAAGGCTGCAGTCCCGCGGTAGTCATGCGGCGCTTGGAGAGCGATCATTGCGCCACAGGATCATATAAGGAGGAAACAAAAAGCTGCACAAGACTCGTCAATGATACTCATGTATTGTGTCAATACCAGATGCCTTTTTTGAATACAAGGTGTGTTTGCCGGAAAATGAGGATGGAAAGGAGCTGTTACGAGGAAGTAAATTTTCATAATTACCACATAAACCAAGAAGGGGAGGCTCGGAGTCAATCAAAGACAAGCTTTGTTAAATCGAAGAATGGAATAGACTGTTCGGCGATATTTTATTACTGCTGCTGCTGCTGCCTTGGTGATGCGTGAATTTCAACAAACTGAGCTGTAATGGCGCGGTGCGTATTTGGGCAAAGCTAGTCTCCAGCCTCGTAAAGAAAATATCAAAATTCACAACGTATCAACTGGCCAATCGCAGGTGTCTCAGATCATCCTGAATTTCGCATGGACCCGTTGGATAGAAGAGAGCATTCCGATGCATTACTATTGTTGTTGCCTGCTTGGAGAAATGCATATCCAATATCGTTAAAATCCGGTTTCCCGTTGCAGATGAGGTGGGAAGTTGCAAGGGATCTTTTGGTTAGGTTGGGCCTGGACGATGTGTGGCCTGGCCCAGGGGCTTTCGTATGGACAGGCAGATGCTGGGTAGAGCGACGAATGCAGTTCTGTCTCTCGGATGCAGGACTTCTTGGAACGTTGCAATAAAGATGGGGAAATACCGATGATGACCGGAATGTGCGCAGGAGACAACTTGCCGAAAATGGCCCGTTATCGCACGCCCGCATCGCTAACTAACCAGTTGTCGGTTTCACCCAGCTGGGGATGCACTGGTGTGTTTTCAAGAAGGGGGATGAAGCCAGAGAAAATCAGAAAGAGTAAAAAAGAATCTATTGGTTCTAGCTTAGCGTGTCTGCATCCCCTGGTGCGACCAGCGCAAGGATTGTTGATGACAGGGAGACACAGGTTGACCCATAGAGCGTTAACGGCAGGGGTCATTGACTCATTATTACTCTTCCAAGATTGATTATGCCAATTGCGGGCAAAATGGTCGTATTCTCACGGTGACTTCAAGAGGCAAACAAGGTCCAAGGCCTCTCAACTACTGGGTAAATGCTCCGTATATATAATTAGAGCCACGATGGACAGGTGGTACCATGGTACATCATCGTTATCTGGAAGACCCGTATGGGGTTGACAAACGAGGCTTGGTTACAATACCTGCAGCATCCACTCGCCATTGGCCATGACCTGTGCTACAGATCGGATGGGGAGCATTGAGCATTGAGCATTGAGCATTGAGCATTGAGCACTGGGGAAGCATTTGAGCATTGGGGATCTGAACAACACCGAGAACCAAACCCAGGTAGAGCATGTAGTAGTAGTAGTAGTAGTAGTAGTAGTAGTAGTAGTAATCAGCCCAAGGCCGCTGGGAGTGGAGTCAGCTGCCCCCTAATCCTAATCAGGCTAATGTCTCGATGTCCGTGGCTGGAGGCAAAGAAGGTTTTACGGAGCCATTTCTCTCCAGCTCTGCCGGGGATGCATAACCATAATTACAAGCGAATACGAGCCGGAGACCGTGCTCCTGGGCACCGTCCAGGAGCCAGGTGCGGTGCGTAATTTACCTCTCGGAACGGGATCTCGCCAGAGCAACCGCCCCCGTTTTATGTTTTTATGAAAGATGTGCAGGTCCCAACTCCCCCCCCAACCCCTCCCCAACCCCCAAGCCTCAGCCTCAGCAACCCCGGCCTCTGAGCCAAGGGTGTGCGATGCTTTCGATGCTTTGTTTCTGCACCATCAGCTTGGTGAGTTTCGTAGAAATGTCGCTGGGACTGTCCGTACCTAACCTACATCCTCGGCCCATTGTCGTCGCGTGGCAACGGATGAAGCCTTATGTTCCCGGAAGCCAGGCCTCGGTGTGTCGGGGTTTAACATAGTCCGGCCCGTAGCTCGAGCCAGTTGAGAGAGAATACGGGAACAGCCGTCCCTTGACGCCCCCTCCCAACCCCAAACCCACGCACGCTTCCCCACGCCGCTTGCAAACAACGAGCGAGAGAGGTGGCGAAGGGGGAGAGGGAACTGCGTCTATGGGCTAACTAACCGGTTGCATCGAATCATAAATATTCATAATTCCCAAACACGGGACAGTGTCATTTGTCGGTAACTCCCATGCCCGAAAAAGTACTCTCATTCTCCGTTGCTGGACGGCTTGGAGCGTGTTACATATGGATATACATATAAGCATGCATGCAAGAATGGTACCCTTGGCCCTTCGCTCCCAACAGCACGTTGAATATCACTTTGAAGATATATATATAAACTAGCCGCCGTTCGGGAAGAGGCCCCCTTGGGTTGTCAGGTCTCATTATCTCATTATCTACATAGGTAGCCAGGGTAGTCTTTGACCGGTTGCCCCCCCCCCCCCCCCCTTTTTTTTTTTTTTTCCTCTCACCACCCCCATCTTTTAATAATAAATAACTTGTTGATTTCTCGCCTTGATTCCTCTCCGCCCCATCCAGCAGTGACTTGTCCCTCTCTCTCCCTTCTCCGTGGGTCCCCGCCATTCCTCACTCGCTGTAAAGATCGAGGCGTCTGGGGGGGGGGGGGCTGGACCTTCCTATCAGCAATTCGCCCACTCCATCCATCCATGACCTGGTAGCAGAACCATTTTCCCCCCTCTCTTCCCTAGGAAAAACACGCTTTTTGAATAAACCTCCCCGGGTGATTGCACATTGACCAGACCGAGCTTTTCTGTCTGTTTGACGGTATTTGCGGGAGACGCTTCTCAAAGGCTATGGACGGCGATCCAGAGAAAACCGGTCCTCCTGTGGAGAAACAATCCGGAGATTCCAGTGCGGGACCGGATATCTCATCCCCCGCCCACACACAGGCAGCTGCGGTATCAGTTCTAGACGGTGAGAAACAGCCCGATGCTAATAATCATATTAATCATATCGAATTATCGGGATCGGGATCGGGATCGAGATCGAGATCAGCCGCCAGCAATGAAGACCTCCCGAATCTCAAGAAACTAGACTCGAAAGTGGTGGCCCCGCCTGAGGAAAAGGATCTCGACGTGGCGCTCGCCCATCTCCCTGAACATGAACAGGATATCCTCAAGGAACAGCTCGACATCCCAAATGTTAAGGTCACCTACCTTACATTGTTTCGATATGCCACAAAATCTGACATCGTCCTGCTCCTCCTGGGCTCTTTTACCTCGATTGCGGGTGGCGCTCTGCTGCCCTTGTTTACCGTACGTGCCCTCAGCCTGATTTTCTTTTCTTTTCTTTTTTCTTCTTCTTCTTCTTTTTCTTCTTTCTTTACTTCCAGGTTGGGCAAGGATGTGTGTATGCAGTTTTTGCTAATTTCACCATTATAGATTCTTTTCGGGCAAATGGGGGGCACCTTCCAAGACATCGCCCTCGAAAGAATTACCCTCAGTAAATTCAACTCGGAGGTTTCGAAGTTTGCTCTCTACTTCGTTTATCTTGGAATTGCCATGTTCATCCTTATCTATATTGGGACGGTTGCTTTCATCTATGTCGGCGAACATATCTCCCAGAAAATCAGAGAAAATTATCTTTCCGCCACCTTGCGCCAGAATATCGCATTCTTTGACAGATTGGGCGCGGGGGAGATCACCACTCGCATCACCGCGGATACCAACCTGATTCAGGATGGCATATCGGAGAAAGTTGGATTGACAATGACTGCTGTCGCCACCTTCATCACCGCCTTTGTAATTGGATTTGTCAAGTTTTGGAAGCTGACACTTATTTGCTCGTCAACAGTCGTCGCTCTCACTGTTCTGATGGGCGGAGCATCCAGGTTCATTGTTGACTATAGCAAAAAGTCCTTAGAAAGTTATGGCGTGGGCGGAACGGTGGCAGAGGAAGTGCTCAGCTCTATTCGGAACGCCACCGCATTTGGCACGCAGGAGAAGCTAGCCCGACAGTACGACACTCATCTCGTCGAGGCCCGGAAATGGGGAACAAAATTACAGATTGCTCTGGGCTGTATGATCGGAGGAATGATGGGCATCATCTTCCTAAATTATGGTTTGGGTTTCTGGATGGGTTCTCGATTCCTTGTCCGTGGTGAAACCACTCTTTCGGACATCCTGACTATCCTCCTGGCCATTATCATTGGGTCTTTCAGTTTGGGCAACGTGACTCCCCACGGACAGGCGTTTACCGCAGCAATCAGCGCTGGCCAGAAAATCTTCAGCACCATCGACCGACCATCCCCAATCGACCCCACCTCTGACGTAGGCGAAACAATTGAGAACGTCAAAGGTACCGTCGAATTCCGAAACATCAGACACATCTATCCATCCCGGCCAGAGGTCGTTGTTATGGACGACGTTAGTTTGGTAGTCCCCGCTGGGAAGACAACCGCTCTTGTCGGCCCATCTGGATCAGGTAAAAGCACGGTCATAGGGCTGATGGAACGATTCTACAACCCGGTTGGCGGAACTGTCTTGCTGGATGGCCATGATTTACTGACCCTTAATCCCCGTTGGCTCCGACAACAGATTTCCTTGGTTAGCCAGGAGCCAACCCTTTTTGGCACCACGATATACATGAACATCAAACAAGGCCTGATTGGTTCCAGCTTTGAACAGGAACCAGAAGAGAAAATTCGGGAACGCATCGAGAATGCTGCAAAAATGGCTAACGCACACGATTTCATCGTGAGTCTCCCCGAGGGTTATGAGACCAACGTTGGCGAACGAGGTTTCCTGCTTTCAGGTGGCCAGAAACAGCGTATTGCCATTGCTCGCGCCATGGTCAGCGATCCGAAGATTCTCCTCCTTGACGAAGCCACTTCCGCGTTGGACACCAAATCAGAAGGGGTTGTCCAAGCTGCATTGGATGCTGCGGCAGTCGGAAGAACCACAATCGTGATTGCCCATCGTCTGTCCACGATCAAAAATGCGCATAATATCGTCGTTATGGTGGCTGGCCGTATTGTCGAACAAGGAACTCACGACGAACTGGTAGACCGTAACGGAGCTTATCTCCGGCTCGTCGAAGCACAGCGCATTAACGAAGAACGGAGTGCCCAAGCTCCACTTGAGGAGGAAGAGGACGAGGAAGATATAATGCTATCTAAGGAGTATTCCCCTGCTCGTCGACCTTCTGGCCCCTCGCAGAGTGTGTCTTCGGGGAGATATGCTGGTGCTGGGGACGAAGAAGAGCTGCAACGGACTGACACAAAGAAGTCACTCTCGAGCATGATTCTTTCCAAACGTGCACCGGAGTCAACACAGAAGTATAGCCTGCTCACGCTTATCCGATTTATCCTCTCTTTCAATAAACCGGAAAAGGGATTGATGGTGGCCGGACTTTTCGTATCCATAATATGCGGTGGCGGACAACCCTCGATGGCGGTGTTTTTCGCCAAAGCAATCAACGCGCTCTCCCTTCCCCCACAATTTTATAATAAGCTGAGAAGCGATTCAAATTTCTGGTCGCTCATGTTTCTGATCCTCGGACTCGTCACTTTTTTCGCGTACTGTCTCCAAGGAACATTGTTCGCCATTTGTTCCGAACAGCTGATTCACCGTGCGCGACGCGAGGCATTCCGGTCCATGCTCCGACAAGACATTGCTTTCTTTGACCGTGAAGAGAATAGCACTGGTGCCTTGACTTCATTCCTGTCTACAGAAACCAAACATCTTTCTGGTGTCAGTGGAGTGACGCTGGGTACAATCCTCCTGGTTACAACCACGCTTGGGGCGTCACTTATCGTGGGTCTAGTGATTGGTTGGAAACTTGCCCTCGTCTGTGTCTCAACCATCCCCGTTCTCCTCGCCTGTGGATACTACCGATTTTACATCTTAGCCCTCTTCCAGGCTCGGTCCCAAAAAGCCTACCAAAAGTCCGCGAGTTACGCGTGTGAAGCGACTTCGGCTATTCGCACCGTTGCATCGCTGACTAGAGAGGCAGATGTTTCTGGCAGTTACCATGGCCAATTAGAGGTACAGGCTAAAAAGAGTCTTATTTCCGTTCTCAAATCATCCCTCCTGTATGCAGCATCTCAGTCCATGATGATGTTCTGTATTGCTCTTGGGTTCTGGTACGGCAGTACACTGCTAGGCACGAAGGAGTACAGCTTGTTTCAATTCTTCGTCGTTTTCATGGAGATAACATTTGGTGCGCAGTCTGCCGGGACTGTCTTCTCCTTTGCACCGGATATGGGTAAGGCCAAGAGTGCCGCTGCTGAATTTAAAATGCTCTTCGACAGAAAGCCGGCAATCGACACCTGGTCGGAGGAAGGCGATACAGTGGAGAACGTCGAGGGGACCATTGAGTTTCGTGATGTGCATTTCAGATATCCCAACCGGCCTGAGCAACCTGTTCTCCGCGGTCTGAACTTGACCGTTAAACCAGGCCAGTATGTGGCCTTGGTGGGAGCTAGTGGTTGCGGGAAGAGTACCTCTATCGCACTCCTCGAGCGCTTTTATGATCCGCTAGCTGGCGGAGTGTACGTTGATGGAAAGGACATCACTAGGTGCAACATCAACTCCTATCGAAGCTTCATTTCCCTTGTCAGCCAGGAACCTACTCTATACCAAGGCACGATCCGTGATAATATCCTGCTGGGCATTGATAACGATAACGTACCTGAGGAACAAGTTGTCCAGGCATGCAAAGCTGCCAATATCTATGACTTCATCATTTCTCTTCCGTAAGTGAAACTATATCCACGATCCATCCATCCATCCATCCATCCATCCATGCTAACAATTCAAAACAGAGACGGCTTCTATACCGTTGTCGGCAGCAAAGGAAGCATGTTATCCGGCGGCCAAAAGCAGCGCATCGCCATCGCCCGCGCCCTCATCCGTGATCCTAAAATCCTCCTCCTAGACGAAGCTACATCTGCCCTTGACTCAGAATCTGAAAAAGTTGTCCAGGCAGCGTTGGATGCAGCCGCCAAAGGCCGTACAACCATCGCAGTCGCCCATCGCCTCAGCACCATACAAAAGGCTGATGTCATTTATGTCATTGACCAAGGGCGGGTGGTGGAGAGTGGCACCCATCATGAACTGTTGGCGAATAAAGGGCGGTATTTTGAGTTGGTGAGTTTGCAGAGTTTGGAGAAGACGCATTAAGCAAGGCTGGCTGCCTTTTTTTTCTTCTCTTTCTTTCTTTCTTTCTTTCTTTTCCTTCTCTTTATTTCCTTTTAATATACTCCGTTATTATCCCGATGTATTGGGGCATATATCTTGATACCATTTTGTTGCTCTTTTTCAATTTCTATGTGTGGAGGGTACGCGGTGGGGCGGAAGTGACGGGAGATTGGGGAGGAGAAGCAGGGTGGTGGTATTTTGTTCGTTTCGCAATCTGTTGTGTTTTATAACTATCATATTTCTTCTTTGTGTGCTTGTTCGTCGCCCACCCGATATCCTGGTGTCGTCTTACGATGGTTAACCGTGTGGGGCGTGATAATACCGCGTTCTATATATTTTCCCCGCTCTCTCTTCTCACCCCCAAACAAAGTTCTTTGGCGACAGGCTAATTCTGTCCGATATCCCGATACAAACTTTTCCTTATTGGTGGACAAGTTTATATTTTCTTTCGTCTTCTTCTTTCCTTTTCCCTTCATTTAATTCTTTTACTACTTTCGCTATTTAATCGGCTACGATTCGAGCCGTTGTGTTCTTAGTTTTAATGTGTACGCTGGGTCATGTACCGTATGTAGAATAGGACGAAAAGTGCTTTTAAGACGTTTCTTAATATGAAATCCTCTGGGACTGCGTGCTTCTTTCGACGGCTAGTCATGTTGCATGTGGGCCGGTCTGCTTAAATTGATATACCCAGCTAGCTCTACTATGTATCTCTCTATTATGATAAAATGGGCAATTAGCTGATGGGATCATATCATACCTTGTAACCTTCGCTTCACCCCGTCCTGGTTTTAGTTCCGTCACTCTCTTGCCGTCCATCTCATCACATCTTGATGTTTGAGAGTTACGGGAATCCATAGTCCGTGCTGCACACTAACTACATGCCATTCGAGTCCGTGAGTTTGCACACAGCACTCCGGTTTGCAACGCTTGGTATATATACACCTAAGTAAAATCATCGCCGCTCCCTTCTCATAAGAATTAGGGAAACGCGGTTGGCCCCAGTTTTCTGCTGCTGGGGCGTTGGAATCACATTAACTACCCAACCTAACCCAGCGCCACCGACCAGGCCATCATGGATTGGTCAATAGGATAGACGAGCTCGCTATCCCTGCTATATTTATCGAGAATTGAATTTATTACGATTGCTCTCCTGGAACGACATGTTTGTTTGTCTCACTCCGTATGGTATGTAGCAGCAACCATCTTTAAATTTTGCACTCTGCACACACAGTTTGCGAAATCTAATTAGCGAGATTCTGGATATTTTATACGCGGGAGCTATTTAACTACCCGGATCTTAGCTATAAAAAGGTGTTGATCCATGACGGCATCCCCTGGAGAAACTGTCCGTGCCGGAGTCTTCACACGACAATTTGGCCCCTGGATTCGCAGTATTGAAACTTCCATATTTTAATCTGCAGGGGGTCTGCTGTGACGAAGCCCACATCCAGCATCATGTTTTGGTGCTTCAAGCAAACGGTAGATATCTTTAAGATGATGCTCGAGCGAACGTATCGTTTAAACCATCTCGAGATGTTGGGATTAACTATCCTGGCGATTCATTCCACAGCTCTAACAGGGCATTTTCGATCTGCAACCACCTTCACTCAAACAGTCCTTGAAACACAGCGTTGGCAAACTGGGTGGGTAGCGAACATAGCTTGCATGATTGATCGTCCTTGTTTCAGGGTTGATCTCTGTTGCCCTGAGGTGGGGATCGTGTTCCAGGTTTAGCTAACGAACTCACAGCAACAAATGCTGGACTGCTGGGAGAGGAAAATCCAATTCTCACGCCCGGAAATCCCGACATTCCTCGATGGCTTATTATACCTATTTAGTTATTTCCCGACTTCTTCAGAGCTCAACAAAGCAGATTGGCCAGCAAAAGACGCGCGTGGGACACGCTTCTCGCCCGCTTGGAATATCGCGGCCAACTAAGTGGGTCCATGGCAGTTAGTTAAGTCAAAACTTACAGGCGGGCGCCCCAGGTATAAACCGATTGCTTTAATTCGACCTTCGTCTGCCCTGAGTTCAGCTCTGCGCCGCTTCACAGCCTCGTCAGTTATTACTTTGCTTTGCTGTGCTTGGTTGACTGGGAGCAGGGAGACCGGCCCATAGCCAAGGGGCTGGTAAATTATCTCCATGCCTCGAGTCTTCTGTCTGGCTCGCCGGCTAATCGAAATCCGTCGGTTGCTCCCGTTTTCAACGGCGCATTTTATCATATTTATTTACTTTGCGCATCGCGCGCATATCTAGTTAGTATTTATGAGAAACATTTTTTCCATTTGTTTGGAGTTCTGAAGACTCTTCTGTACCCGACTTCTAAATGTCCAATGCATGCGACACTCCCGAATATCGGCTTGCCCGCGCAGATTCGAAAGATCCGGCCACGACATGTCGCGGAATCAAGGCCGATGGACAAAAATGTCGTCGAACTGTAGCATCGGCTAAGTCAACGCCTTGCGCCTCGCCATCCAGAGGTGCGATGTCCAGGAAGAGAACCGACGATCGTCCAACAGCAGCTCTATTTTGCTGGCAGCATAAGGACCAGGCGGCTCATATCACGCCAACGCCCGCAAAAGCATCTACGCCTGCTTCAAAACTAAAGACGCGATCGAGTATTGAAACGCTTGCGGAGAAAGTTGGGTTGCTTGATGTCAATGATCAACGCCGCCCAGTCTCGGAGGGGCAGGTGTGTGGGCGAACAGGACCCCAAAGGATGGGTAGAGAACGGCTAGATACTGAACCGCGCCCTGGCAGAGAAGCCTTCCAAAACAATGAAATAAGGAGACACTCAATCACTGCTACGCCCGCGAGACATAATCTACAAGTTGAAAGTACAGCTCTCGGTTCTCCTGGCTCAAGTAGGAGGTCTAAGTTTCAAAGAAAGCTCATTCGATTCATTATGGGAGCACACGATGATGAAGATATTCTAATTTCAAAAGTGTGTCATCGTCGAACGGCTTCGAATAATGAAACAACGACATCCCATCTACTTTCCCGTCCGGCCGTCGTTCAGCCTCCGTTTCGGTCCGCAGATACCATTAACGACAGATATTCCCGCTCGTCTCACCTCTCTGAAGGTCGGGTGTCTTCCCAGCTCGAAGTCCCTCAGCCCTCAACTCCTCACTCTCGACCTCTAACGCGTCCATCATCCCTATCGCCGTCACCAGCCAGACCACTTCGACCATCATTACAGGGCAGTCCCGCCTCCACGCATTCGCATACCGACACTCTTCTATCCTGGATACCCAACTCTCTTTCGCCAATAACCACATCCACTCTTCTCAAAGAGTTATCGGAACCCATATCCGATGCCGACGAACCGGGGTACATATACATGTGCTGGGTCACGCCACAAACAACAAATACCTCTCTCCCAACCCCAGAACTTGCCTCCTCCCTAATCCCCTCCCTGGTCGACAACGGCAACAGTCGAAGTTACAGCACCAGCGAAATCATGCGCTCCGCCGGCATTACACCAAACAAAGTCCATGATCCCCAACGGAACACCGCTACAGATACCATAATTCTGAAAATCGGACGCTCAAGCAACGTCCACCGCCGAATGAATCAGTGGAAGGACCAATGTGCGCATAATCTTACGCTCATGCGGTATTATCCGCATGTGCCTTCGTCGACATCCGTGCAGTCGGAGTCATTGGCTCCTCCGCGTAAGGTGCCACACACGCATAGGGTGGAACGGCTGGTTCATCTGGAGCTGGCGGATAGAAGGGTCAAGTTGCAGGAACCGTGCAGTTGCTGTGGGAGGAAACATAAGGAGTGGTTTGAGATTCGGGCTGATAGGGAGCAGCTGAGGATAGTTGACGAGTGTGTGAGGAGATGGGTGAGGTGGAGTGAGATGACGGGCGGTTGAAGCTTCTGGGGGGTGTGGCGTTTGGGCAGGGTGTTCACTGTCTATGTTATACTCTTAACACTGATATGAAACGGTTCCTGAGCGATTAGAGAGCTTCCTACGGAACGAGCCTTCTTGGAGAAATCATTGCCTTGGGTTGTTTGGCAAAAACACCAGATACCATAGGCGTAGATTAATATTATCTTTTCATTTTCAATCAGAAAACAGAAGAGCTTCTCTAATGCAGTTGCTAGAGAGGGCCCATGATTGATGACCTCAGTCTGGCAATGTGCCAAATCTTGCCTCAAATGAGCGTAGAGCTGCCCCTTGATGGTTCGGGTGCTTTTGGCTATTTCTGATTCGGCTGGGTTCTGCGACAGGGAAGCCACTATGTAATTATTTTAGCTTCAAGCGGTTCCAGTGAAGCCAACCCCTGGCACGTTAGAGAACCTCTTGTATGTCCTCCAGCTTCCGCTTCCCATTTCCCATGAATCAACTGTTCATTCCCTTCATTCTCTCTTGTATTGTATGCCCTTACTCCTCTTCCATAGAAAGCCCAATTCAGTACAGAGTATCGTGTCGATCGTACACATAACTACACTGCCGATTCATGAGGAGAGCCATCTAAGGATCTACTATTTATATCACCAACACTAATTTCGTCGATTACACTCGACTGAAACAATGTTTCCCGCTCTAGAAGGAGACGTCTCTGGTCTTTAGTATTCTAAGGACTGGCCTAAACTTGGCATTAAGGACCCATGTCCATATCATTTCACGGCTGATATAGCCGTAAACACCGGGAGGATGCGGCGGGGGTACAATGACGCACAAGACTTTTGGGATGCACTTGAAGGCATTGTTGACCGGACTGGTTGGACTGCAAATGAAGATTTCGAACGATGCGGTCGATTACTTTTTGAAGTTAAGGCAGGCGTGTCTAGACACTTTGGTTCGGAATAAGCGGACGAATTTGATATGGAGACTGGTTGGGTTCTTGGTCATCGTAGTGAAATAGGGCCGTTCTTCCAGAGCCATTAAACAATCGAGCTTCGAATATAAATCCACCGGAATATTGATTATATCTAATCCTTGTCAACTCTGATTTGTATGCAGTGTGATATACAGATTATCAGCTGCTGCGACCCCTTTCTGGATGATGATGAATTTGGAGTTTTGCCTTAATAAGAGTCTTAAGGAGACTTCAACCACAGGGGCTCTCAAGCATTTGTAGCATTTCTTAAGGATTAACTAAATGCTTTCATCCACTAATCGTGCCCAAGTTTACAATCCAGTCAAACCTGGGCACCCTCAACAACATTGGGTTTTGGACTTTGCACGATGTCAAAAGGAGAGGAATTACCAACGATGTGCGGGGAATATATCCATGCTAGTGCCAACAAGCATAATATTTGCTTCGCTTCGCTCCGCAAATAAATACGAATACGAACGACGAAGCTTTATTTAATTAAGATAACGATCATGCTACTGACTTCGAAGCTCTCTTCATTCCTACTTACCTGCGGAAAGACCGTCAAGTACGCCTGCTATACACCAACTGATCCTCTCCCGACTCGCATATCCGCTATTTTCAACCGTGGACACATAACCTATTAAAAAACTAGAGCCAGTAAAAGGACAATATAATGGAAGGACGTTGCCAATGCGGCCTCATCCGTTTCACCACCTCTCTTCCCAAGCCGTTAAAAATATACATCTGTCACTGTACAGAATGCCGTCACCAATCCGCCTCTGCCTTCGGCATAACAGCCAGATTCCCAAATTTTGAAATCCCAGAACCCAAACCCGCCTTTGACAACATCATCACCAACTACGACCCCTCATCCTCGTCAGCTATTGGCATCCATGTGCGCCAGACGCTTTCCGGCAAAAGTTTGGAATGCCTATTTTGCAAACAGTGCGGGGTCCGATTGATGCATCGCGTGCGTGGGGAGGGGGAGCTGAGTGTGAAGGCTGGGTGTCTTGTCGGGCTGAGTAAAGAGATGATGGCGGGCGCGGTGCATATCTGGTGCAAGGAGTCGGTGGTAGAGATTCCGAAACGTGCGGAAAAATGGGATGAGGAACCCAACGAGTGATGTGCGATGAAGCTAAGATAGTGATGTATATTGATATAGGGGTGGTAATGGATACCTTATGGTTTAGATGGAAGTTTTGACCACTTGCAGGTTGCAGAGATAGGGAGCTTTCCGGTAAATCCAACGCAATCGCCTCTGAGACTTGGCTAAAGGGGTTGGTAGGATACGGTCGACATTTCCCACTGCTAACTTATAACTTATTTGAAATGTGAATTGGCCTCTGGAGCAGGTGCTGAGTTTCCAAGATTTGTTATGACAACAGATGCTTTCTGTGCTCGGGGCCGTTGCCTTCCAGTGTTGGCAGTTACTGTAAACATTTAAGGTTGCTGGCTTAAAATTTAACCTTAAACCAACGTCATCGGCCCAGAAACTTTAACCGCACCGCTGAGTTCCCGGTTTGGCTGCACCAATATGATGACACTTACCCCGGATTTTGCAGGTGAGCTTTGTTTTGGATAGACCTCTCCAGCTTCTTCCCTCGGCAACAACTTTATCGGAAAATCAACAGTGACGGCCAGCGAACCCCCAATTTACCACCACATTTACCAACTCAATGACCAGAGGGGGTCTTCCTTCTCATCTCTCGATGAACTTGCCCCGCGAAATCTCCCGATAACGCGTCACACCCACCACTTCTGTCAAATTGAACATATCGCTAAATCAGCCACTATCCTCCCATGGACACAAAATCAACGATGCCAGAAACACAGCTTCATAAACCTCTCCAACAATCCATGGACGGAAGCTTAGGGACACTGGAAACACAAGTCCATAATCCTCTGAAACCACCCAAGGTACCCATCTCGGAGGATCCCATTACCGCCACCAAGCTCACCACCCGCACAAAATCCACAACCAAAACTGTCCTCCCAGTTTCACCCATTTTGTTCAAAACCAACCCTGCGGACTACTCCAAAATTCCCGCCTCCACCTCTAACCTCTCCACAATTCTTTCCACCCTCCGCAACCTCCTCCCAGAACGCCTAAGCACCCGCGCCCACCCCCTCCTGCGCGTCTATGCCACGCAGCTCTCAAAACACCCACACCTAACCACCCTCCTAACAATCCAACTCCTCTTCACAGGCCCTCCAGTACTCCTATTCGTCCTTTTCGCCACAGGGACGATATTCTTCTCGCTTGCTCTGGCGCTGCTAAGCGCCTTGGTGATTAGTGCGCTTGTCCTGTGTGGTGCGATGCTGGTTGTTGTGCCTGCTGTAGTTGCAGCGGCTGTGGTAGGGACGGTGGTGTGGGTTGGGTGTCGAGTTGGGTGCTATGGGCTTGTTTGGGTTAGGGAGGCGTTGGAGGCGTTGGAGGCGTATGGAGGGGGTGTGGATGGGAGGAAAGGGGAGGCGGGGAAGAGTGAAGACGCAGTTGGGATGGAAGGGTGGAAGTTGGAGTGGGAGGAGTGGAGGAGGAGGGGGGAAAGGAAGACGGGTGGGGATGGAGTGGTTGGTTGAAGTGTTGGTTCTTATCGTGCCGGTTAATAAGAGTATATTATTTATTATCTTTTAAGTGGCAGAAGGATGGTAGGTTATTATTTTTGGGGACCTTCTGCTAGAATTCGAGTTGCAATGGAGGGAATTATGAGCTTTAATGAAACATATGCTTAAACATGTCTTTTTTTAATACGGAATGATGCAGTAATAGGATATACTCTCATGAAATATAAATTATACATCCATTCCGAATTGTTTACCGATACATAAAATATTCATAAAATGCAACATCAAAGCAAAAGCAAAGGAAAAGGAAAAGAAGACAAATACTCATGGAACAACATCATAAGCTTTTAATACCAATGCAAACACTATCCAATTCAAATGTGTTCAATATATTTTCGCAAATAAACAGCAAAAATTGCGCTGTAATAGTCAAACAAGTTTCAAACATGCTGCAACAATAATAGCAAATGCTTTCATAATGTGTATCAAAAGTATCCCAAAAGACAATCGTTAAGAGGCATAATAATACCACAGACCCTTTATGGAAAGACCAGCCAACAAGAACTCCCGAATTTTGAAAGAATATGTGAAAAACCAATGACAGGAATAGGTTCAATCTACAGTGAGATTTTGTTGCTGCTGGTATATGAAGAAGCGATAAACCAGGTATACAGGACTTTCGTGAAACAGCTATAAGATAATTGCTCCAAGGGGACATCACACAGTCTCAAGGGAATCCAACATCTAACCAAACAGAACTCTCCCGGGTATCAAAAAGCAGAAGACAAGATCCCAAAATAAAGTTTAAAAAAAATTAAAAAAAGTGAGTAAAGACGGGAAATATATGTAATTTGCACCGTAATTTGCAGGCGTTGGTATGGCTAGAGGTGGTAGCAGTCACTACAGGCCTTTCGCGAAGCAGCTTTTCAGTTTAGAGCCGCAGGACGGTTATGCTATCGATCACCCAGTATCCTTTCCATCGCCCTCAACAACAGCCGGGTGCTGTATAGGAGATTGTACATCTCCGTCTCCAGGTCATCGTTGCGGCTGATGGTGGTGGTGAGGAACTCGGCGGTCTCTATAGTCAGCTTCACCCTCTGTGTGTGAGTGGAAAGTCGTGCAAGGGCCTCCTTGATGTTACCGGTTAAACCGGCCTCTCCTGGCGAACACGCCCAAGGAGCAAATTCTTCCACTGGATTTCTGCGTGGCAGGCCCAAAGGTCGTCAGTTAGCTGTTCATTCCTGAAACGTCATTTCCGCTTGAGGTCTGAGAGTTTCCATTTGACCGCGGCTTCCCTTTCTTCGGCCATGCGGCGGAGGTTTCTGGAAAACCATCAGCTCAATCTCAAGTTATTTGAGGCTGAGGGTCTGGTCTCCAGACACAGCCGACTCCATTTGGACAGTCAGCTTTTCTACACTCTCAATAGCTTTGAGAGTGTTGGCGTGTGCGAGCAGAGACCGCTGTTCAAGCTTAGAGTATCGGGATTGTAGTTTCCGATACTCCTCTCGGCACTGCTGGAGATCGTGGTGGAGCTGGGAGTTGTTGCTGGAAGTCGCTTCGTATCCAGCGATCAGTCCACGCAGAAAGACGATCTTCTTGTCCGAGGACCTAATCTTATCCCTTGCTTCCGCAAGATGCAGCCCAGTCCCTGCTGCTTCGGCCCGCATGGCTTCCAGTTGCGCTTGCTGGTGAGCGACCTGAGCTTCGAAGTCTTTAATCTTGGCTTCAGCCGCCACTTGGGACGATTCGAAAAGCTTACGCTCCTCTCTGAGCTCATACTTCACCTTGTTTCGAGCGGCAACTGCGGAAGCGTATTTTGCATCCAAAACCATCTTCTTTTTCATAAGGACGTTTCTGTCCTCAACGACCTCATTTAGCTGCGCCATGTAATCATCCTTCTTGTCAACAAGACGCTTGATTCTCGAACGATATTTGTCTTTCAATTCCTCAATCTCAACTACGTGGCGTTGCTCTGCAATTTGGAGGTGAAAGTCGGGTTTTTCAGTTTCAGTTGGTGCGGTTTTCGGGCCGCCTGTCTTCTCATCTTCGGGATCTTGTGTGTCGCCGAGGACGCTGGATTCAATTGACCAGATAGACGAAACATCAATGGTTGAGGGCGTGGGTGAGGGTGATGGATTTGGAATGAGGTTCAGTTTTTCAAAGTTAAGTGGGGCATTCTTTGACTTAATCGAGAACTGAGCCGACGGATCACGATCATCTTCGACTGCTTCAAAAACTTCTTCGGTGGCTTCGAGAACTCCTTCAACGGTTTCAGACACCTCTTCGACCACTTCAGGAACAGCTTCGATGTCATCAGAAACGGTTTCGATGGCATCAGACCCTTCTTCAATGAATTCAGACGTTTTTTCGACGACTTTTTTTGCTGTTATGGGTGATGCGGGTTGTGTGGTAGGAGAATTGGAATTGCTACTTCCGTCTGCGACTAACTCCCGTTTAGACAAATGTTTAGCGTACAAGCTCTGTGGTGATAGGCGGCTGATTTGAGCTTTGGCTCTAGAAACCATGGAAAGAATATATTCGGAGTCGCGTTCCTTGCATACAGGTACGGCGGCAAGAGAGATATAGTTGGCAATTTCGTCTTCGGATACCTTCCGTTTCGAAAGCTCTCCGACGTGTAAGCGCTGCGGTGATAGGCGGCGGATTCGAGCTTTGACACTGGAAACTGTGGAGCGAGTATATTCGAAGTCACATTCTTTGCATCCCGGCAGTGCTGTAGGAGAAGTGGAAATGGCCGTTTCATCTTCATCTACCTCCTGTTTTGAAAGATTTTGGGCACGCAAGCGTTGTGATGATAGGCGGCGGATTCGGGTTTTGGCACTGGAAACAGCGGAATGAATGGATTTGGAGTCACGTAGCTTGCATGATACAGTCCATTTGTATGCCCTTTTGAGGGACTTTGCTGTAGCGTAAACGGTCTGGGAAATGACCATGCTGAGCTCGCTGTTTGGTGATAGCATCGTGATCACGTTCAAGTACGCTTCAACTGCGTGCGAGGGAAAACATAAGAGACAAAAGATAACCTTAAAGGGTATTTATACACTGTAGAACTAAGTCCAATAAGTTTGATGTATATGAGGAGATCTTTGATTGTAGTAAAAGAGTGTGAAGGAAACCAAAGTAGGGAGAAGTTTATAACAACACAAGGCAGTGTAGACTCTTAGAAAGTAAACAGAGTGGTAACTCGGGATACCGAATCTCTTACAGAGAACCGAATCAACGAATCTCAAATCTGTATGTAGGAAGTAATCAACATTGTAGAAGTGTTGTAGTTGTTAGAGTTGTAAGAAGATAGTTCTTTTGTGGCGAAGGAGAAGCAGAAGAAAAGGGAGCGAGATATAATAGAAAGACAAACCCTTTGTATTAACATAGTATACGTGGGTTAAAAAAAAAAACTGTTCAACGAGTGATCGAGCAACTTCACTATGACAAACACACAATCCCAGTGTGTTGTGGATGCATTTGTCGCTGTGGTATGGAGAAAAGGGGGGGCATCGAAAGTTCTTAGGCAGGTATACAGACAACCAACCATAAGAAGAAACAATGGAAACTTCCCGGACGCCCTTCCATATGGATATGGATACGATGCCTGAGAAGAGACATTAGCTACATCAATGGAACTAAAATTAGTTTATGATAGATGCAAAAGAAAAAGGCTATATATCCTGTAAAATAGAGCGTCAACACCGCTTCTCAGAGAGCGGAATATGTTCACGAAAAAAGCGCTTTGCCATCCATTCCTGATATCCTAGGTAGGATCGCATTGTGCTGTTACAGAACGCAAAAGAAGAGAGAATCACCCAACAACGAGTTGAGGCCCGGCTGTGCGAGGTTCTCGACACCCTGATTTTGAATATCTCAGTGAAGGCCTGCGTTGGAGCACACTTAGAACAGCTGTAACTAGTTCAAACACGGCAACATGGAATAGATAGGTATCCCATGCAACTTAATACATAGCAATAGAAATCTGAAGCCAAATAAAGATAAGTTGTGCAGTGGATGTGAAATGCATTTGTTCAAAGGTGAAGATGAGGTTGGTGAAGGTGAGGTCGATGCTTGAGGCTGAGGTTGTTGTGCCAACACACAATCCACGTGACTTTACCGTTGGAACCACAGTGTCCTTAAAAGCGCTAGCGCCTTTTGGAACGACACAACGAGCAACATCTCAACCATCGCCAAAATCTCTATTCTCAAATAGGCCAACGACGTCTCTTAATTTTCTATTTCTTCCTCCTCCTCCTCCTCCTCCCTCTCCTCCTCCTCTCCTTCTCCTCCTCCTCTGCCTCTGCCTCTGTCAAACCAACTTCTCTTCTTTCCCTTCTCCTTCTTATTACCCTTCCCCTTTTGTTTTGTTTTTACTCTACTGTTCTTGGTTTCATTACTCCTTCGCCCTGGTTTCCTTTTATCAGCTCCTTATCCCTCCTTTTTTCGTGGATCAATTGGAGACAAAGCAGTCACCATGAGTGGGCGTAAGTTTCTCATACACATATTGCCTGCGTCCCTAACCCCATTCCTCCCTTTTTTTCACCTATTTAAGTCTATTGCGCCTTTGGAAACCCGATGTGCTGACTGCAATTAGTACGCTTCCTTGACTTGATCAAACCCTTCACGCCCCTCCTCCCGGAGGTGGCTGCTCCCGAAACCAAGGTCCCCTTCAACCAGAAATTGATGTGGACAGGTGTATGTTGGAGATCCTTGCCATTCCGCGCATTCACCAGGTTATTCATTCACACGCTGATCCCATTGCGCAACAGTTGACTCTACTCATATTCTTGGTCATGAGCCAAATGCCTCTCTATGGCATTGTCTCGTCAGATACGTCCGATCCTCTCTACTGGCTCCGCATGATGTTGGCCAGTAATCGTGGTACCTTAATGGAATTGGGTATCACTCCCATTATTTCCTCCGGAATGGTTTTCCAGGTATGACATGATATGACACGTTCATTAAAAGCTCTGATTTGATTTGCGTCTTTGTGTTTGTGGCAACCGATGACCATTAACACATATTAATTCACAATAGCTTCTCGCCGGAACTCACCTCATCGATGTTAACCTTGACCTTAAAACCGATCGCGAACTCTACCAGACCGCGCAAAAGCTTTTCGCAATCATTCTGTCTTTCGGTCAGGCTTGCGTCTACGTCCTTACTGGCCTCTACGGCCAGCCCAGCGATCTTGGTGCCGGTGTCTGTGTTCTGTTGATCGTTCAACTGGTGGTTGCTGGTCTGGTTGTCATCCTTCTCGACGAGCTTCTCCAGAAGGGCTATGGCCTTGGTAGCGGTATTTCCCTTTTCATCGCAACCAACATTTGCGAGTCGATCATCTGGAAGGCTTTCTCCCCGACCACCATCAATACCGGACGTGGCCCCGAATTCGAGGGTGCGGTCATCGCCCTGTTCCACCTGTTGCTCACCTGGCCAGACAAGCAGCGCGCTCTTCACGAAGCGTTCTATCGCCAGAACCTGCCGAACATCATGAACCTCCTTGCCACGCTCGTCATCTTCGCGACTGTCATCTACCTCCAAGGCTTCCGCGTCGAGATCCCAGTCAAGTCGTCCCGCCAGCGTGGCATGCGCGGCTCCTACCCAGTCCGCCTTTTCTACACCTCCAACATGCCAATTATGCTTCAATCTGCCCTCTGCTCCAACATCTTCCTGATCAGCCAGATGCTCTACTCCCGCTTTTCGGATAACCTTCTTGTCAAGCTCCTGGGTGTCTGGGAACCACGCGAAGGCGGATCTGCCCAACTTTATGCCTCCTCGGGAATTGCCTACTACATGTCTCCCCCACTTAACTTCAAGGAAGCTCTCCTGGACCCCATCCACACTGCTGTCTATATCGGTTTCATGTTGGTTGCCTGTGCACTTTTCTCCAAGACCTGGATTGAAGTTTCTGGCTCCGCTCCCCGCGACGTTGCCAAGCAGCTTAAGGACCAGGGACTCGTGATGGCTGGACACCGTGAACAGAGCATGTACAAGGAACTTAAGCGTGTGATCCCTACCGCCGCTGCCTTTGGTGGTGCCTGTATCGGAGCCTTGTCTGTAGCCAGCGATTTGCTTGGAGCTCTTGGAAGTGGAACTGGTATTTTGTTGGCTGTCACGTAAGTATTCCTGTCATTTTTGTCTTCTGTCACACACACACACACATATATACACACTCACATTCCCTTTTATTTTATTTTGTTTTGTTTCTTACTAATAATTGCCGTAGTATCATATACGGATACTTCGAAATCGCAGCACGAGAAGGTGACTTCGGAGCTGGCCTCAAAGGTTTAGTCCCTGGAAACTAAACGAGTCTTATTTATGACGATTCTGCGGGGGGATATTTATTTCCACTCCGCTGTCTTAATATATTCTCATTATTTCTATGTTTTATTTCCATGGTATGGGAGTTATAAATATCCTTTGGTTGTGACAGATCGCATCACATACGCTAACTCCTCGGGCGTGGCGTCAGAAAAATCAAACAGAAACCTTTGAGGCGATAGGGGCTGGGTAGTTTGTTGTAAGGATTCTTTTAGCTATTTTCCTGGTTTTCTTTTAGGTATACCGCAGCTGAGCAAACAAAAATTCCTCTTTTATTCTTTTTCTTCAACCAGCTTTATTGGATTCCCCCATTTTTCTGTTTTTGATGCTAACTCTCTTATTTACCTTTCTTTTTGCGCCTCCGTTTCTTTTAGGTTGGAGGAGTGTGCTTGTTGAAAGAAAGGAACCGAAAAAAAAAATAAATAAATAAAAGAGGCGCTGATTTTCCAAAAAGAAAAAAGCAACTGTATATATACCTACCTAAGCACTATCAATCTACTTAACAGCGTGTAATGATACGGAATCTCTTTGAACAAATTACTTGGCATCCAGATACTCTATCAAAAACTCCTCGCGAAATCGCACCCTTGACAGCCCTTCTCATCCACCCCCATTTCATTCAAGTCCTATAATCCGCATTAATAGTCACATACTCATGACTAAAATCACAAAACCAATAAATCCCCTCTTCCCCAGCCATCCCCTCCCCACCCTTCTCCCCACCACCAAGATCAACCACAATCTCCAAATCTTCATCCTGCAGAATCCTCGCTGCCCGCTCCTCATTCACCATCTGCGGCTCCCCATTAACAAGCAATTTCAACTCTTCACTCCCATCTACAGGTTTAAAGCTCACACTCGTCCGCTCAGGCACCACCGTCCCCACCTGAATCCCCTGCGTATACCCGATGGCACACAATATGCGTCCCCAATTCGCATCTCTGCCATACAGCGCCGTCTTAACCAGCGGCGACCGCGCAATCGTCGACGCAATAGCCCTTGCATCCGCCTGGGACGGCGAATTAAGCACGCGCACAGTGACGAATTTAGTTGCGCCCTCGCCGTCACGGACAACAAGTTGCGCAAGCGACTGTGCAAAGCTTGTCAGGACGGTTTGCATGGCTGCGTAATTTGGGGAGGAGGGGGTGGTTATTGTCTGGCCACCCGCGGCGCCGTTGGCGAGGAGGGCGACAGTGTCGTTGGTGCTTGTGTCGCCGTCTATGGAGATGCAGTTAAAGGAGCGGGAGACGGCGTGGGAGAGGAGGGGTTTTAGAGCGGCGGGGCTGATGGGGACATCGGTGCAGAGGATTCCGAGGAGGGTGGCCATGTTTGGGTGGATCATGCCAGCGCCTTTGGTCATGCCTGCTATGCGGTAAGTGTGGTTAGGGGAGGAGGGGAGGGTGAAGGTGCGTGAGAGGAGCTTGGGGAAGGTGTCTGTGGTGCAGATGGAGCGGGCAGCGTTGAGCCAGGCTTTGTGGGTTGAGGAGAGGTTAGAGTGGGCGACTGGAATTGCGTTGAGGATTCTCTTGATGGGGAGACTGTGGATTGTTTGGATATTAGTGACTGTGTAGGGTAAGGAGGTAAAAGAGGTGGGATGAAGAGTATCAGCTGAGGCCCGTCTTACCGTCGTCCGATAACGCCAGTGCTCATGACGAGCGTGCTAGGTCCCTTAGAACTGGTTGACGGTGTGCCATTGCACTCGTCAACTTTTGCACTCATGCTCTTGGCATCTTCCAAACCTCCCTTGCCCGTTACGGCATTGGCACAGCCGGAATTAATCACCACTCCTGTGATATCGGCACCCTCCCTTGCTTCCAGCACCTGCTTGCTCACCTGGACTGGAGCAGCTTGAAACTTGTTCGTGGTGAAGACAGCAGCAGCAGAACATGGCGTCTTGGAGCATATCAGGGCAACATCGCGAAACTGAGTGTTTGACTCCTTTACCCCGGCATGGGCACCGGCTGCGAGGAACCCCTTGGGGTACGTCCCTGAGCTAGGGACGAATTTCTGTTTCGATGGCGGTATTAAAAAGTCCCTTAAAGTGGAGTAACAACGGGATTGGCTAGTTTTGCTCATGGGAAAGCACACAAATCCGGCCACAACGTGGAAAGACTGTTGGGTCTTCATGATATTGATTTCTTGTTATGAGAATACACCGAATATATCGGCCCCACTTTATACCTAAAGCAGCGGAATATCCGCTAAATAGGAGAAAAAATATGGTACCCTCAGGAAAGATATGTCCGAGTGCAGAGGTGGTTTGTGCAGTTTTGGACGTCCAATCGCTAAGTATACCAAGAATGAACCCTCAGAATTGGTCTTAAGAAGAGACAGGGTGTAGGGTGGGTTTGAAGGTCAAAACTGAGCCTCAAGACGACCACATCTTCCCGAATTGGCTCAATTGACTACCCAATTCTTGATATAATTTCTGTTTTCTCACCGTGACTCAGGTTTGATGAAGTTGAATTTGAGGATTGTGAGATCTGGATGACATAAGACGTCAATCACGTGGGTTCGCGTTGGAGTAACCTAGTTGCCAGCTTCGACTCTCCGATCTCAAAGAGATTTTTATTTTTAATTTTTCTCTTCAACCCACGCATTTCCAGCTCATTTGTACATCGGTTTTGCTGGTGACTTGAATACCTAATCCTTTATTCCCGCGATCAACGATCACAATGAAGCGCAAACTACCAGACACCTCGGAACAAGAAGATAACAGCTCAATCAACACAACACCACGAAAACGACGAACAGCGGATCTCCAATGCTCCTCGAAAAGTAGAAATACAACAGATCTACCCGAGACACCCTCGCGGAAACTACGCGCTGCAAATAATAAGTCCAAGATACAACCTACCCCCGTTGTAAATGGGCCAATCCAAGACTCCCCAACTCCTAAAGGGAAATCCCGATCGTTATTCGCAACACCCTCAAAGGCCACGGGGAAAGAGCCTACAAATGCTTCGCCGCCCATAGTAAGGAATGCTGATCGCTCAGCGAGAAGGAAAAGTGCCCGCGTACTTCTGGACCCTAATGATGACGATGACTGGGACGGTGCAGTTCAATTGGCGCAAGAGATTTGGGATGCGGAAGACGAAGAGACCGGCGCAGACAATGGGGAGAGGGGAACAAAAAAAGGGAAAAAAGCTCAAGTATATGGTGCCGAAAATCCTGAAGCTACCCCGAAACGTCGGGCGGGACGGCCTAAGGGCGCGAAAAATAGGCGCTCTCCTACCCCGGAAGGAGACCTCCCGCCGCACGAGAGATACTTCTTTCAAAACAGACCCGGTCCCGTACAGACTTCGAACAACACATTGGCAAAGCTATCTCTTCTGACGCATGAGGAGTATTTCGAGCAGCTGAGGAAATTTGAGGACCCACACCGAGAAGAGAAGGAGTTTCTACTCGAACTACATGAACGGTCATTTCCACAATGGGAATTTGAGTTGAGCGAGGGATTTAGTATATGTTTATACGGATATGGGTCGAAAAGACGTCTCGTTAATCGATTTGCGGAATTCATTTCCCAACGTCACAGCGATCCACCCACGATTGTTATTGTTAATGGTTATATGTCTAGCACGACGATACGGTCTATACTTGCAACAATCATCGGCGCAATCCTTGGCCCTGATACTCCGTCGAAACTTGGAACTCAACCATCAGAGGTTTTGGAACTCCTTCAGTCTATTCTTGACACTAAACCACCTCCGCACCCGATAATGGTCTTTATAAATTCTATTGATGCTTCCGCGCTCCGGCGTGCCGCTCACCAGTCAATTCTGGCGCGTCTTGCTAGCATCCCTCTAATAAATGTACTAGCCACGGCTGATACACCCAACTTTCCCATACTTTGGGATGTCAGTCATCGGGACCAGTTCAATTTCGTGTTCCATGACTGCACGACCTTCATACCGTATGGCGTGGAATTGAACGTTGTTGATGTGGTGAACAGCTTGCTCGGACATCAAGTACGTCGGATCGGCGGGAAGGATGGAGTCAACTTTGTCCTTAAAAGCCTTCCGGAAAACACACGAAAACTATATCGGTTATTGGTGACGGAAATCCTTACATTATTAGGGGAGCAGCATCTTTCCGATGATGAGGACGCTGGCGCTGGTGGGAAACAAGATCGTGGTGGTAATGAAGGGGAGGAAGTAGCCATTGAATGGCGAACGCTATTTCACAAAGCTGCTGAAGAGTTCATCTCCTCATCAGAGATGATGTTCCGTACCCAATTGAAGGAATTCTACGACCATCAAATGATCGTGTCTAGAACTGATGCCAGCGGGGTGGAACTGCTTGGCATTCCACTATCCAGAGAAGAAATGGAAGGGGTCTTGGAGGATCTGGTTATTGATTGACATGCAATATTAACAATAGTAAGCATGTTGTCTTCTTCCTGCAGTTGCGTTTTTGTAACCTCCATGCCATCTATATCTATTTACGCGCATATGATACCCTCCCCATCTTAGAGCTTAGATGAATATATTAACAGAGAGATAGCTGTTTCCTATCAGCCAAAACTCCGAGTTTCCAAAATTTTGCTGCCTTGCTTAGCTGCATAGATCCAGGAAGCGAACAGCATCTCGTAATCTTTGACATGTTATGTTGTCTAGAATTGTGCAAACGCAGATAGCAACATCATAACCCCGAAACTAACTTTGAAAGGGGCTTTCTCAGTCAACAGCCGTTGGACATTAACGGATTTGACATGTTTTTTTAGCCAGTCGGTCGGGACGATATTGTAACCCTTAGAAGCGGCCCACTGATAGTTACCAAGGACATGGACAGTTAGCAACCTGAGGCACAAGGATGGAAGTATCCGATAGCCGATCGCAACAACCAGCTAATTCTCCAATTCACCAACAAAATTTTCAAAAAATAAAACACTAGATACAACGAGAATCTTGAAAATAGCATACCTGAATCCCCAAAATCGTGATTCCCAACGCAAACACCAACGCCCTCGAAAATATCCTCAATCCAATCCCGGCCAATAAACCCAGCACACTTCCAAGGCTAATCTGCCCTGCTGTCTTCTCGCTAATGCCGCCACGGCTGCGGACTGGATTCGCCGTTTGAAACCATGTGCTGCTGCTGCTACTTGATTGTGAATGGCCGGCAGCGGAGAAGGGAGCAGGAGCGTCGCAATGTATAGGCTGTCGTTGGAAGAGGGCGGAAGAGAGGGCGAGGCCAAGGGGAAGGGCGAAGATGATGGGCCGGGCTGGGACCAAGAGGCGGGTGAGAAAAGGGAGGGACATCGTGGTGTTCCGTCAATGGAAGTGTTTGGGCAATTTATCCGGGGCGTACGGAGTCGTATTTGAGGAATTGGAGGAGGTATTTGCCAATTGTGTGGGGCAGCGGTCTGGGGAAGGTTGTGTGGAGTCCACTATTCTAAGGCCCTCGGATAGCTGTACGTTATTGTGCGATCGACAGGAAACGGGTGATGTTGTGATGATGTCATACGCTGAGAAGTGGAAGGTGGAATTAGGCTTTTAAGATTTGTGCTAGTCATCGGGAGCCTTACTCAATATGGGTTAGTGGCGGCTGGGCCTTACCATAGGTTGAATGTTCAAATTCTCTTTCTCTCTCTCTGTTTATTATACTCATATGGATGATGGAGGTCTATATTATGCACTATCAACATAGCTATGTGGAGCTTGGATTCTTAGGAGCCATTTTACACGCCATCAGTGAGGAATTGCTGCCTGATCTTGCTCTTCCAGCAGTTTTATTGATCAATGCTTGATCTGGTTTTCCCTGTGTTGAAAGCAATCTGCTCATTTCTATATTGAGCTCAGTCACGGCTATTACGGTGCTTGCTTGTGAGCTGGATCGTTTTGCAAGGACACCCCTTGAAAGGCATTTGTCTGATTCATGACATAGGGAGTTCCACTGATACATTATCTTGTACCACCCACTCTTTACCTAAGACTCAAATCGATTGCAAGAGGCTATGGGGGAGTGTCCTTCAGCAGCTTCCTCTCGTCTGGGAAAAATTTACCTTTATACACCTTCCTATCGCCATTACAACTCTGGTTGTATGCTAGATCTCCTACCGTTTTTCTTGCGTCCATTGGCGAACTTTAAGGGACCTCTGCCAGCTCGTGCAACGACGTGGCAGTAAACGTCCATTGAGCTTGGTCTTGGAATATCTATGGTTGGTAAACTAAGGGATCTACATGAAATATATGGTCAGAGTTTTCATTCTTTCAATATTAATATGTTGTGTCATTGACCAAGGACCACTCGGAGAAAAAAGAACAGAAAAGAGAAAGAGAAAGAAAGAAATCACCTGTGGGATTTCTCTTTTCGCTTTAAGATGTATTAATAGTTGTTATATGTTGTGGCTGCGGGTGAAATTATTTGCATTGTTCTGAATGAGATGGGATTAATATTTGCAAGAATCCACCCTCTTAGTTGCCCTTCGCGAAACTTTTATATTAAGAGGAGGGCAAATGTGATTATAAAGGAACCACTAATTACATTCAACTAATGACAAATACAGCTACGCCTCTCAAAACCTTCTACCTTTAATGAGATATATCACAGTTGCCAGCATTAGAACAAAGAGACTGTGATCCCTATATTCATTCTTCGTTTGAATTCCTCATCTACTACGAAGCCAAAGAGCGGAAGGATATTCTACAGCCTCTCTTCTCTAGGCGGGCGACAATAGAGATGCAGACCTAGTCCACGAGAAGGTACACCATCATTTTGGAACATACAAAACTTCAACCTCCCCTTTTATTCTTTCCGGTTATTATTCCAATTCCTTCCTTCCAGTCACCTTTCTGACATATATAGTATGCAAGATCAACCAACTATGCTCTTGTACCCTTCACAAGTAACGCGAAAGGCAAATCTTCAGACTTGCCATGGACAAGATTACACACTTTTGCTTCGCGCAGTCCACCAACGCGATCGATGCTCCTTAATTCCGCGCCCAATCATCGAAAATATGGAAGCAAATCTCGAGCCATTTGTCACTTTCAAACACTTTAGCCTTATACGGTGGGGGAACTAAACCAGCTTTAGCAAATAGAGTCTTACCTGGTATGAAATACATCGCATTTGAGACAATGTTTTGAAGATTCGACATGAGACTAGATTGCACGAAGCAAGTGTCATTTATAAAGATGCCTATCTCATCCCATTTAGACCTGTCAAATCTGACGAAATGGATTTTGACCCTCCGACCTCTCCTGGCGAGAATGTTTTGTCCCCTGCTTTTACGGTAGTCGTTTGCAAGCATTTTGCATAGTGAAGTCGCGATATGAGAATGAGAAAATGAACCTGGAGAAGGAATGGCATTTACAATAATTTGATCTTGTCTCGGTTGAAGAGTTTATTGAACTGGATATATATATATTTGATTTTAGGGAATCCGCATTTATTGTCAAATTACGTACAGCACTTCATGAAGCTGCGGGAGATGCATACAGGCTGGTTTTAATTACAAGCAGATGCTGGGATGCAGACAAACTGCCAGATCGGATTTCAAAAGGCAGCATTTTAGCATTTCTCCTTCCATGCTCTTAATTCAGCCAATTCGCCTGACGCACGATACATATTATCAGAAAAGGAAATTCATACTCACTCTCAATTTCCGTGTCATTTCTCCCCATCCCACTCCTCACCTAAACCAACAGATGCCGTTTTAAATAACTCCAGTACCCCAATTACTTCATAAGGGTCGACACATGGTGCGAATCAACTCTCACCAACGACTTCGCTAAACAAATACACGAAAACCCCTTTAAATCCCATCCAAATTTGCAACCGCCTCAATTTCGATAGCCATTCCAAACGCCAAGTTCTGCACCCCCACAACCGTCAACAGCGGCTGGTGATTGGGGAAATACTTGCGCAGATTGCGAATGATATGTTTGGCAATATTTTCATCGAGCGGGACAGTGTAACAGCGGAGCTTGTATATCTGATCCCAACCTGTGCCGCCGGCCTGTTTCACAGCATACTCGACATTGGAGAAGGCCTGGTCAACCTGTGCGCCAATATCGTCGGGGATTTTCTCGGTGATGCGATCCCAGCCGCCTAATCGGGTGGCTAATTAGTTGAAAGTGGGACTTATTTTGGGGGGGGAAGGGGAACTGTTTACCCTGGCCGGAAATCTCAATCGTGTTGCCGATTTTAACGGTCTGGCTATAATGGGTGGAATCGCGGGCGGTTTCGCCGAAGCCTTCGTAGCTGGGGTAGTTGAGGTGAGCCATGGCCTGTTTGGATTTTGGGGCGATGTTCAGGCCTATAAGCTGAGAAGAAGAATTGGGGTGGGTGTATAGGGGTATCGATATTAAGATGTTACGAGTTTGGTTCGATTACTCCTTTGTAAATTGGGGAAAGATAATACAACGGAATCAGTTCGGGCTACACACGTCTTAAATATTATTTCAGAATCAAATCCGTCTCCTGCAACATGCCCTTTGAGGGGCAGATAGGGCCGATTGACCCCGCATATTTTTGTGGATCTATTTAAAGCGGGGGTTAAAGATGTCGAGCCGGAGAGCTAATTTAGAGGTGAGGATCTAAACATATAAAAGAATAAAAGGAAAAGAAAAAGAAGAGGTCAGTGCTGTGTGATATGAGCAAAGATAGCCGTGCATCTCGATACTCCCTAGGGTTGAATAAACCCTGCCGGCTCAACTATCACCCCGCCGGTTCAATCCTGGTTAGCCACCCAGACGGGCGGGCAAAAGTAACCCAGGGATTGCAGCAGACGCTGAATTTATCATCCTCACGATCATTATTAATCGATTGTTGACCTGGAACGAATTGATTTTTCTTAATCGGCTAGTAGGTAATTATCTATAGCACAGGACTACCAGATTGTCGAATGATTCAGAACGCGAGCGGCTTGGGAAGTTTCTATTCACTTATCCCCATCTCCGTCCACAGACGCTGCTAAGGCCTTGGTAGAAAACCTGTTTCCTCCTTCCGCTACGAATGTTAGCGGGATGGCCTTCAGCATTGTCCAACTTAGGTGAGTATCAAAGTTAGGGGCTGAGAAAACTATGACTTGTGATTACAAAGCTCAAAGCTATGCCTGGTTAGTCGAATATGGATCCAGTCTTTAAAAAGTGATAGATAGATCCATAGTGAGGATATATATTTCCAAGTGACACTTCTGCTGACATTCTCGAGGAGGATTTGCAACTCCATTGCTGTTCTATGAATGCGTGGCGATGGCAGCTTTGCGGTCTGCAACGGGCGGCAATGGAAATCCATTCCTTAACTACATGTGAGTCCATCGTTCAGTTGGAAGATATAACTTTGTTCTTTTAGTGGTTGCTGGCCCCGCCAAAAATGGATAGATATATCGTCGCAACATGGATTCGTACCCAATATCTATAAATGATACGCAAAGCTAGTATCCGCGTAGCAGCGGGGAAAGATCCAACTATAGCCCAACCCCCCAATTTCTGAGGACCGCGGGACATTGCCTGACGCGTGTTCAAGATCGATGGACGCTTTGACAGTCGCTTCTATGAAACGACTTCATTGAGCGCCATGCATTTGGTAAGTCTTCTGGCTGGATAATTAATTGACAGGACAAGAGACCCCGAGGATATCCACCTTCCCTCTGCAGAATATATACATTGCAGTGACCGCCACGAATGGAGGGAAGCAATATCAGTTGCGGAGGAGACATTTGTTCGATTTTCTATCCATATCTTCGGGTCCAGCACCGCAGAGTGAGAAAAGAAAATGGAGATTGCCCCTCGTTCCCCTCGAAAATGCAGTGAGAAGCATGCATGAAGCCATTCCGAGAAACTGGCTAGGCAGGTGAGACGTTAACTCGGCTCCAAAGTCCAACCAGAAGCTGGCAATGTCACCGGGTTGGATTGTGGGGCGGCTAGAAGTCGAAGGTTGAAAAACGAAATCCCACGTAAGCTGCCAGAACCCAGAATCCCAGAATCCCAGATCCGGTGTCAGTCAAGCAACTGTGTCTGCTGTCCATGCCCGCCAAAAACGCGGTTACGGTGTGGATAAGTTCAACCCATGAAATCCCCGCACAAAACAGCTCGAGTGGCATATTGGCCAGCTAATAAATAGCTAACTTCAACCACCAGCGTGTAGATGGATAAACAAGATAATAGCTGATGATAGATACAACTACAGACAATATATTAGTTCCTCCGGCTGAAGGTTGCGCCGGGAGTAGCCGGGCGCTTACTTAAGCCGGATTGCGGCAGAGCCACCGGGCCACGCGAGCCCTGATGATTAATTAATTATTAATTGATTATAAATTTAAATAAACTATTCCTCAACGTCCTCGTCGTCCTCAAACGTCAAACGTTCCTCAGATCCCAGGATACTCGGAGTTGAAGTAGCTGTTTACAATCGTGCCCGAGACATCAGAGCAACCCCTTCTGAAGGCAGCTTCCCGTTGGCGCAGCGTTCCATTCGTTGGTTAACTCTCCAGTTAAACGGCATCACTGACTGCAGTGCCCAAGGTACCTGGCGCTTTTTAACTCTGCGCCCTTGTGGGAACAAACTCTCCCCCTGGCGCTTTTCTTTCTCCCATAGTGACTCACTCGGCGCTGCGGTGCTGAACAGCTAATCTCGCAGTTTATCCGGTCCTCGAAGTTGTCGTTCCCATAATTTCTTCTGCAATTCCTTAACGCTCCGTGGTGAAAATCCTTCCTCTCCAGCGCAAAAGAGTTCTGCGTTCTGTCCATAGTGTGACCAAGGACATTTCCGATTCAATCTTGTCCCATCCCCGTATTCATTTTTAAAAATAAGATCTTTGCCCCTCCTCTGAAGAACCTTTACCCCTCCACACCTCAAAGTGTCAAGTCAACCTAGAAATCTCCCCCGCAGTATCACTCATTCCCAATGGCAACAGAAGCACCTAACGGCCCCACGCCCATCAGCAATGCTGTCGCTTCTACGTCACCGGCCGACTTCACTGTCAAGGCCGGCCTTGCTCAAATGCTGAAGGGCGGCGTCATCATGGATGTAGTGAACGCAGAGCAGGTACCTTCCCCCCGCCCTTTTTTTTTTTTTTTTTTTTTTTTTTTTTTTTTTTTATATATATATATATATACAAAAAAAGAAGAAAAGAAAAGAAAAAATTGTAACCTTTGTATCTTCGCCCCGGAGTGTGTGTGACCATTATCAACTATCACGAACCATTCCACTCCGTCTTTCACGCCACCAAACGAAACTTCTGACCAAAGCATCGGCTTTTTAAACATGTTAATAGGCTCGTATTGCCGAAGAAGCGGGTGCTTGCGCCGTCATGGCGCTTGAGCGGGTGCCAGCGGATATCCGTGCTCAAGGCGGAGTGGCGCGCATGTCAGACCCATCAATGATTAAGGAGATTATGGGAGCTGTGACAATACCCGTCATGGCTAAGGCGCGGATAGGCCATTTCGTCGAGTGCCAGGTACGTGTGTCCTTTTGTACAAGGTTTTTTTTTTTTTTTTTTCTTTTTCAAAAAAAATAAAATAAAAATAAACAAATAAATAAAAATAAAAATAAAAAATAAAAATAAAAATAAATAACAAATTGTATATACCACCTTTCTACGCAGAACCACCACTCTAACCCAATATCAACACCTCCAGATCCTCGAAGCCATCGGCATCGACTACATCGATGAATCCGAAGTCCTCACCCCAGCCGACCAGCTCTACCATGTCACCAAACACCCCTTCAAAGTCCCCTTCGTCTGCGGCTGCCGGAACCTAGGCGAAGCCCTCCGCCGCATCTCCGAAGGCGCCGCCATGATCCGTACAAAGGGCGAGGCAGGCACAGGCGACATCGTCGAGGCCGTCTCTCATATGCGCGCCGTCAACAGCCAGATCGCCAAGGCCCGCGCCATATTGCTATCCGGCTCCTCGTTGCCGGGCGGAAGCGTCGAAGCCGAAGCTGAGCTGCGAGCCTATGCGCGCGAGCTGGAATGCCCATATGAGCTGCTGCGGGAGACGGCGGAGAAGGGCCGGTTGCCAGTCGTGAACTTTGCGGCGGGCGGGGTGGCCACGCCTGCTGATGCGGCATTGATGATGCAGCTGGGGTGTGATGGAGTGTTTGTTGGTTCTGGGATTTTTAAATCGGGAGATCCGAGGAAGCGGGCCAAGGCCATTGTCCAGGCCGTCACGCACTACAGGGATGCAAAGGTGTTGGCGGAGTTGAGTCAGGGGCTTGGAGAGGCTATGGTTGGGATTAGCGTGAGGGATATGGCGGAGGGACAGAAGTTGGCGAAGAGGGGGTGGTAGATATGTGTTTCATGTT